ATTTCCTCTGTAATGTGAGTGGGCTTCATCCAACCAGTTTAGGCTTCGTGGATGGAAAAGGGGCCACCGGCTCAACCAGACGAGCTCAGGAGAGGCCTGCGTGGCGGACTTCACAAACTCAGAGACTGAAAATAACCACCCACAGGACGGTCTGAACATAAAAATTCCTAACTAAAGGTGAGTCATGGCAGGTAGTCATGTCTTAGGCCAGTAGCCTCCTTGACGAAAGTCAGTCTTTAAGAAAGTGAGCCTGTCTGTTGTCTTTTTGCATCTAGGGTAACATGCCTTTGGAATGTCAGGGTGATCTCCTGTTTGCAGAGCGCTCAGGGCACAGTCTGCCACCAGAGTGTGAGATTGCAGAACACCGCATTGTGATGTGGTTGCCCAGGTACCATCTCTGTGGGCTGGAAACGCTCACTCTCCTGTGCCCACTAGTATAAAAGAAATACGCGTCTTCCCGTTTTACTCTTTACCCTGTCTCAGAGATTTCCCAGCTTGGCTTTCTCCTGCCTCCCTAACCTACCATCAGTGGATTTATTGTAACTCCCCTTTGTTTTCCTCCTCTTGGTCTTGTATATAAAACAAGCTGTAAAACAGCCATTCTCCAGAGCATTTTCTCAATCTGTTGCGATTTTGCTTCTGGACAATTGCTGTCAGTTTGGCTTGAGTAAACTCTTATAAGACTTTTTCGTAGGCTGGATGTTCTTTCATTGACAGCCTTAAGAGAAAAGATTGAGGTCTCCCGCAGAGGAAGGAGGTAAGCCTCCAGACTGCAATAAGACCCAAGATTGCAACATTAAGACCACTGGCCTTGCCAGCCTGCTGGCCTGTCCTGTAGTTTCAGGCTTGCCAGCCCCACAGTACTGTAAGCCAATTATAAAAATCTTTATCTATATCTGTAGATATATCCTGTGGTTTTTTAAATAGATAACCCTCACTGATATACATGCAATATCTTTTGCATTTGACTCCCCAATTTTTATTTCTAGCCTTGACTTCTCCCCTGAACTCCAGATGTTGCCTGTCGACCTGCCTATTCACTGTCTCTATTTGGTAACAATGGGTATCTGAAACCACACTATGGATTTGTCCCAAACTATTGCTTTCCATCTTTTCCATTCCCATCTTTTCTCCTCCTCCCTGGATGTTTCCCCTTTTCATTAAAGGGTGCCCCCATTTCTTCAGTTGCCAAGACGAGAACTCTGGAGTCATCATTAATTCTACCTTTTTTTTTTTTTTGCATCCTTCATGCTATCCATCTGCAAAACATATTTGCTTTACCTTCAAATAATGTATTATCTCACCTCACTAATCCAAGCCTTCATAATCTCTAGTTTGGACACCACTATAACTTCCTAACTGGGTATGTTTCTCCACTCTAAATCTCAGCTCCCTTAGTCAGTTCTTCACACAGCAGAGCAGTGTTTTTAAGATACAAAATAGATCAGTCCTCTCTCATGACACTTTGGATTCTTATCACATTTAGAATGAAATCCAAAGTCATGACTATGGTTTTTGGGATCTGACCCCTGGCTTATTCCTCTGATCTTACCGTCTGCTACTTTATTCCTCATTCACTGAGCTTTAGATGCATTGGTTCCCTTGTAGATACTTGGACAAGTCAAACAAAACAGGCTCTCAGTTTAGGGCTTGGGCACTTTCTGCCTCCTTTGCTTGTAAAGATCCCTTCAGTATCCTTATGGCTTCCTCCCACACTTTACTGTGGTCTCTGCTCAAGCACCATATTCTTAGATCTTTCCTGGCCTCTGTCAGGGAAGAAAAAATTTCTCCTCTACTCTTGTAGAGTCTTCTAGCTGGTTTAAGAATTAAATTAAGATGAGACAAGTTAATGGGAGACAATCAACTTTAGTTTCATATTTACAGTGGCCCCTTAAAAAATGAGGCCCAAAGACAATCAGGCAACTGAGGCTTATATGCCGCCCAGAACTAAAGAGAAGGGATAGGCATCTGGAACCCCACGTGGGAATGAAAACACAAATGTTTGCTATGACATGCAAAGACAATGGCACATAGAGAGGACTTTGAATAAGCAGGCTTTGCTAAGTTCCTGCCAGTCCAGCATTCCCCATGTGCTTTGCAGTTATGTCTGATGAAAGCTCTTCTTCCTGGAACAGGCTATCCAAGTACTTTTAGGCAGTTAGGGGAAGATAAAAAGCCCTTCCTGAATCTTTTGTTTCTTAAACATAATCAGCCTAAAATAAACCTCCTGCCAAAGAGACATATATTGGAATGGCAAAATCCTGCTCCCCTACACCTCCTTACCCTGCCTTATTCTTCTTCAGGGTACAAATAATGCTTCCATTCATTTTTTTTTCTGTGAATGGAGGCAAAGGAATGGGGTGGTAACTATGAGGGTCAGAGCACATGGGAACATGGGAGACTATTTTTTAAATAGGAAAACTACGGTGTGTTTATGTGGTGATGGGCATGATCAGGCAGAAAACAAGAAATTGATGATGCCAGAGAGGGAGGCTAATTTCAGGAGTGCCGTTACTGAAGATCGGGAAGGCAAGAAGAGATGAGAATCCGCGCAGAAGTGGAGAAATTGCCTTTCACTAAAACAGGAGTGAAAACTGGGAATATGGCAGGTTGGTGGTTGAGAGGGAAATAGGAAGGAGTTCTGACTAGTTGATTCTATTTTCTTAAAGTAGAAAGCAGGTTATACGCCAATGGCAAGCTGTGGGTGTATTAGAAGTCTGAGAAAAGAGGAATAAGTATGCCATAGTCACTTTGGAAACAGGGAAGACAAATATACCAGAGAAGCAAAGGCTTGCTGGGCAGCTTTGGGGACATGCAGAGGTTTGAGGTCTTGACTTAAAAGTGAAATCACTGGGTTTCTGTGTTTTTTTCCAGCAATGTTTTGCTGCTTGATTAGGGAACAGAATATGTGGACATCTAGGTCTAGCAAGGGTGGGCCTGGCCAAGTCAGCACAATTGAGGAGTTTGGACTGTATCTTGCGGGTCCTAGAAAGCCACTGAAGGTTCGGGCAGAGAAGATTTGAGTGTCAGAAAGGTGATCCAGATCAGGTGGTGAGAGAGGCTTGTTTGCAGGAGGAACAGTGGTTTGATTCAGTGGGACTCTGATCAAATACCTGTATAGATAGATCTGTTTGTAGAGAGCTTAGATGTTACAGCATAGAGGGCCTTTTCAAGCTTTTTCTGGGAACTTCCTATACATAGCAGGTTCTAGGATGACAAGATAAATGAGACAAGGGTTAGCCTTCCCAAAGTTGTCTTGGATTTAGATGGTTTGTAATTATTTGTAGGTATCTGGGGACACAGAAAAGAGGAGGATAGATAAACACTGGGTTGGAATCAGGGAAGCCCTCCCGGAGCAAGTGACATTTCAGATGAGCTTTGAAAAAGTAGGCTCTCAGGGAGGGAAGATAATTCAGGTAGGGGTATAACATAAACCCAAACAAGAGAATAAGATGTATGCCTAGAACGAATGCTGTGTTATGGAAAATGTGGGAGAAGAGGAACTTCTTCCATTAACCAGCAACTAAATAGAACTAAGGCGTTGTCTCTATTTTGTAACAAGGGTAAGGCATCTGGGCCCATAGCAGCAGCAAGAAGGACTTCAAAAAAAGTGAAGGTTTTAAAAAATGGTGATTTTTTTTTTTTTACTTAAATAAATACCTGGAGCAACTCTAGGGATTTGTACTGTAATTTGCTCATCGAAGAATAGTGTGAAGTTAAAATGCCTTACGTAGCCTTTTCTGGTATACTTTTAGAAAATATTAACTATGGTAACTCTGACCTGTCTATCATACAGGGAGGGTTCTTAGAAATCAATCCTTATCACTTGTTCTTAATACTTTATTTCAAGTTAAATGATTTTAAAGTCCCTAAGGTGTACTTTTGAAATAAGCTGTAGTTTCTATGTATTTTTAAGAAGGAGGAGTTTATGATCCAGGTTCAAAGGCTGTTATTGTATTGATTAAATGACCTAAGGCCTATAAAATGATTAATACCATTTTATATTAGCTGAGAGAAATTGTTTTCTCCCAGCTTTCTTTCTGGCACATTTTCCATCTTTTGCTCCTTAATTCACATTGTTTCCTGAACACCTGTGTGGTAGCCCGGTCTTCTGTTCTAAGGACCCTGAGTCAGGTGAGGCATGCTCTTTCGGAAACACAGTGGTTATCATGCAGGGTCAGGTGTGTGTGTGTGTGTGTGTGTGTGTGTGTGTGCGTGTGCATTCAAAAGCTGGGAGGTTCGGAAGGGGCTCAAAAAAGTGGATTGTGTGTGTCTGCCAGGTCACAGGTGTGATTTCTTAAAGCCATAAGAAACCAGCAACCTGTTCACCTGAGTGTTTCAGCCCAGCAGTATGCAGACAAAGAGGGGAAGACGTTCACTTACTTATTCAGAAGTATTCACAGTTAGCTATATGTATGAGACACTGAGTAAGAATATGACTAAGAGCAGGGAAGTGTGCTCACTTCTTTTCAGGATTAGTCAGGGTGGACTAGGTGTTTTCCTTTAAAAGCCTGATAACTAACTTCCTCCTGGCTAATACATTACCTGAGGGCAGTGGGTCGGTCCCCAACTTTGCTGCTCGCTAGGATCACCCAAAGAGTTAAAAAAAAAAACAACCCAGATGCCCAGGTCGCACCCCATACCTATTACAACAGAGTATCTGGGGGTGGGAGGCAGGCGCCGGCATTCCTAAAGATCCTCCCGTGATTACAATGGGCAGCAAAGTTCTGGAGTCACTGCCTTAGGGCATAGTCCAGCTTTGTTCACTTAAAACATACTCTTATTTTGGGTTCTGGTTTCAAACATTCCTTAAATTGTTTTTGCTCTTTTCTTGGGTTTGGGGGGCGCTGTGAGCAGGAAGAGGATGTGGCGTCACCCAATTAGGGGATCCTAGTTAGCTAAGCCATTGGCGTAGGTTGCCAGCGCTGCACGAGGAGTGGATTTTTGCTTTGTCATTCTGACTCTGGCTCTTGGCCCACCCGCTCAGCTCAGGCAAGGGCGTGGCTTCTCGTAGCCACTAGAACCCAGCATCCTGTTCCCCAGTTCGCTTTAGTCCCGCATTGCAACGGAGCAGAAGGCGTGGGGCACCTGAAGAGGAACCTGAACCCCTGCTTTGGGCTAAATGAGCGTTCAGGCTGTGAGCTCGCCGGGGACGTGAACCTCCGCCTGCCCGGTGCGTGGTGAATGCAGGGGAAGGGGAGACGTTTTAAGGCGTGTCTGAGCTGGGGTGAGGCTTTTCTGAGGCAAGTGAGCTTCTTTGCAGCTTTCATTGTTTGCCGGGGTTAGTGAAAGCTTAGCATGTGGTAGGTGGTACCGGCCCCCTGGTGGTTTCTTTCCTCCAGCTCTTTGTAGAGACAGTTCCCTTGCACAATTATTTGACAAAAAGGGTTTTTGTGCCGTTTCTTAGTGCACGAGACTTGAAATGTAGGTGGTGAAATGGATTGACAGACTCTGGACAGCATTAAGAGAGTGTAACAATTTAAGGATGCCTTTCAAGGAGTTTTCACACCACCGAATCCTCAGAAATCCTGAGACGTTGGCAAATTATATGTATTTCCATGTTTAAGGCGCAGAATCATATGACTTGCCCCAGGCAATTAAATGGGACAGCTAAGAGTGGAACCGGCGCTTTTATCGGACTGTATCAGGTATTACAGGAGAGCAATCATACACCACAGTGCCTGAAAGTGGGTCTGCGGCTGACCAGCTGCGTGACCTTGGGCAAATTAGCTTTTGTGCCTCAGTTTCCCTATCTGTGGGAACCTGATAGGCCCCACTTCAAAAAGGTAGTTGTGAAGATTGTGTTCATATATGCAAAACACTACAGAAGTGTTAGCTGCTACTACCATTATTATTATCAAACGACTATACTTTTGAGTGGTGGTGTGTTTTTTGTCTCATAAATGGACCTGATGTCAGTATAACTGGAGTCTATTTTTAATTCTGTCACTGACGCTGTCCCTGAGTTCGCTTTTAAAACTGGACCATAAGGCCCCCTATGTCAGGTAGGGTGTTACTGTGTTGCTTCAAGGTTCTTAAATAGATAACCCTAAGCGGGCCGAGTGTTTGTAATTTTGCCCCATGGGTTCAAATGTCAAAGAACATTGGAAGTTGGATTTTAGCATTCTGTATACATTGCAGCGTTTAAAGGAAGATTAAGTTAGGAGGTGTTCTATAAAAGCTGAGATCATTGTTCCTTCAGCCTCCTTTTTGAGGCTTTACTGAATTCCAAATTTACTGGGAAAATAGAAGGTGTAAGTAAGTTTAGCGAGACTTGCCATGATTTGAGACTGGACGGATCGCTGGCGTTTTGGCCTCGTGTTTCCGGCTTCTGCGGGTCCAGGGTCCGAGCCTAATCGCAGGCCTAGGTCGCTGTGGGGGCTGGGGCAGGGGGCGCTATCCTGCGGGGAGGCGGCAAGTGCGGGTGGCCTGGGGGCGCGCCCTTGGGCCGCGGAAGCCCCGCCCCCGCCGCGCACTTCCCGCGCCGCGGCTCCGGGCGGAGAGCCTGACCCGCTCCCCTCTCTGCTTCTGTGCCACAGAGGACGGGCCGGGCCTCGAGCGAGCGCTGGCCGAGCTGACCTCGGAGACCAACGTACCCGTGGTGTTTGTGAAACGGAGAAAGCTAGGCGGCTATGGTCCCACCCTGAAGGTAGGTAGGAGTCATGAACGTTTCTTTCGCCCGCCTGAGCTGGGAATGAGCCCACCATGGTCGCAGACCGAAACTTTCAAAGCCAGGGTGGATGTGAACGAACTTCCAGGCGGAGCCCCTCCTTAGAAACTGACCAAGAAACACACAGGGGCTAGATCACGTGTTAGTCCAAGTTGATGAGACGTTGGGTAAATCTCTGAACTGGGGAAGGGTATATGTAACTATTTTCATCCTTTAAAATAGTTGTTAAAGTGTCCTTTTCCCTCCTGTTGTCCATTCCTCCTTCCCTCCCAGTAATCTAAATAATTAAGAACTTTTAGAAGTGTAAACTTGTTTGAGGAAGTACTGAGAAAAGGGGATCAGGAAATGCTTATCTTTGTTGGTCTCTATCTTCTTTTTAATTCTCTGGGAGGGAAGCCCAGAAACCCCGGGTGTGGAGGAGAGCCACCAGGAAGTTCCTCGAGTGGGTTTATTTCTCTTCAGGTGTCTTTTTTGTAGCCCAGAGTTAACACTCGGGTGGAGAGAAAAAGGAGAAAGGTTTCCTTTGACTGGTCCATCCCCTAAGGGGTGAATGGGTCATGGCCCAGGGCACTGGCAGAATGCCATGAGGCCGGCTGTGTGGTTAGGGGGGTGTCATAACGTGGATGATCTACATCAGGTCTGGTTGGTTACCAGGTTAGAAAGCCTCATATCAAGCCTCAGCTTGATACCTCTTTGATTTCTGCTGTCTTTTTTGTCCTTGTCTGTTTGTGGCTTATGTAATTTTTAAGAAATGGAACTCTACTTGAACATTTCCTTCTGAGAAAGTAAACCTGAGGCTTTAGTGTGTGTCTCTTGAGGAAGGATATTAGCAACTGATTTGCATTTTTATTAATTACCTTTTTTCTAAAAGACTTTTATTTATGTTTTTGAAACATGGGCATAGGAAATGGAGATAGACTTCAAAGACAAATAGCAAGTTAGTGGAAAATAAAGAGCTAATAAGGCTTTCGGCTTGATTTAAAATGATTGTGTTGTTCAGACCTTTAGTTTGCAGGGAAAATAAGACAAAGATCTATTAATATTCCTTCCTGTCTGATTGATCTCTGTGTTCCACCTGCCATAAAATCGCACTTAAACGTTATTTGATCTTTATATAAATTCTACAGAGGGTCCTGGTTTTAACATCAATGGGAGTAAAAAGAATTACTTTTTATGAATTTTAGACCCATTTTGTTGATACGATCTGATGTTTTCAATTCCATATGATCTCAGGTCATTTCAACCATTTGGGGAAGTGCAATGCCATGAACCACAAGCACACCATCAACTCATGATTAGATCACTTGGCACATCTCTTTTAAGTAAACTTACCATTCAACTTTGTATCATTTGATTTCTTTTTGGTTTTTAATGAGCGCTAAGGAATGGAGGAAGAGACTACTGGTAAGAACCAATGATTTGAAATATTTGTGAATTTCCAGCCAAATGTTGCCCATATTTGGGGCTAAATGGTGAGTTCTGAAATTCTTTAGGGAATATTGGGTTTCAGTGGAGAAAGGCAGTTATTTAGTGGAGAATTGAGTGCTTATAGGATTAGTGTTAAAATCATGAGGTTCACACCTTAAAAAAGGTTAAGATTTCATACTCCGATTGTAGCATAGATAATGGAGAGGGAACTTTAAAAAAAAAGTCTGCTTCTCCTTCTCCTCTTGTTTCTTCCTTTGTCTCCCTTCCCCCCTCAGTAAATAACTGCAGCAACAACAGAACTCACCTTGCTTTTAACACACTTATTGTAGGAGGTATGGGAGTGAGAATCCTATTGGAAGAAACTAATGAGCTTAGATGACTACGTACAGGAAGGTTTTTAAAAGTTACAAAAAAAACTGTGGTCTCTGGACCACTGCACGGAATCCTCTGGAGTGGTTATTAAACATGCCTGCCTGGGCTTTACCTGAGGCCTTGCTGAGTAAACCCTCTGGAAGGGGCTAGAATCTGCCTTTATTTATGTATTTGTGTATGTATGTATTTATGTAGCAAGCCCCCTCAGGTCATTCTTATGATAAACACCAAGTTTGGGACTTACTTTAATGTATAAGGTAGTTTGGTCAGGATCAGTTGGTAAATAATTACAAGTGGGGAAAACCAAGGACTACTCTTTAATATCCAAAATGCAATAGTTAGAAGACAGCAAATGATAACTCAGTAGGTAACAATTTATACCTGTCTAAAAAAAATAGGGGAATATGCTGTCTATGGCTAGGACTTGTATGTTGATGTGTAAAACTGGAATTGGAGAGCTACTAAATTCAGAGAACTATAAATGGAGCTCCTGTTGCTCCAAGACACCTGGCTTTCTGAACATATTAGTTCTTAAGGGCAGGATTGCAAGTATTCTTTATAGGGAACCCTTTATGTAAATCAGTGTCTCCAGGATTCCAGAGTGTTGAAACCACTGTGGTGGGATAGAGAAAAGCAAAGTGAATGAAAAAGCGCTTATTGGAATACTAAGTGCTAGACTTACACTTAAGTAGTTTGGGGAGATAAGACTAAAATTGGCAACATGGGAGCTAATTTCTTCAAAGCAGTAATGGGAGAGATGACAGACACAAATCAGGGCATGATTAACAGTCCAGGTGAGTTAGGGACAGTTGTGGGAGGAGCTCAGACGTGATCCCCTGGCAGTCGGGTAGCCCCGCATCCCAGCCTGGCAGTGGGGTGGACATTGAAACAAAGCCAGGTCTCCTTCCAAGCCCAACGCTGCAGTTTCCAGAAACCAGACTCTTACCTGAACAGACACGAGCAGATGAGTGGGAATTTAGTAACTCTCCAGCCGTTCCCTTTCTCAAGATTGTGCCGAAACTGGCAGAAAACTTTATTTCTTTGGATTCTTTCCTTTGAGACATTTCCATCTGGGATCTGTCCCTTCTACTTTCCCTCCCAGGACATCTAAATAACTTAAAAACTTTTTAGAAGTGTAAACTTGTTTGTCTGAGGAAGTACCGAGAAAAGGGGATTAGGAAATGCTTACCTTTGTTGCTCTTTAACTTCCTTTTAATTCTCTGGGAGGGAAACCCAGAAACCCCAGGTGCGGGGGAGGGGGGAGCCACCAGGAAGTTCCTTGAGTGGGTTTATTTCTCTTCAGGTGTCTTTTTTTTTTGTAGCCCAGAGTTAACAATTGGGCGGAGGGAAAAGAGAGAAATGTCCCCTTGACTGGTGGCAAGTGTGGTGGCCCTCCTATCATAGGACCGTCCACTGAAGGGTGGTGATGAGCAGTGTCCCTGCTTCTGACCTACTTAAGGTTGAGGTCTGAGGAGAATTGAAGGACTCCTTTGAAGATGAGGGACTTGAACAGGCTCTGATTTACTTAAAAATAAGGAAAGCGGTCAAGACTAACATAATTTCATGGGGGCATAGATTGTTAGGCCTGCAAATAATGTACCTGGTACTGATTTTATATAGTCAGATTTTTACTGGTTATGAATCCATGTTGAGACCCAGTGCCCCCTCCTCCCACTTTAACCCAGCAGCAACACAAACCATTTTTCGCTGTGTAGCTGTTCTTTTACAGTACGCCACTCTGGTGGTGGTCCGGGGTCCAGCTTTCCTGGCACCTGTCCTGTCTGTTCACTTACCGGGGCCTGTTTCCTAGGTACGTGCCCACCCCCTCTATTAGCTTTGCTCAGGCTACCACAGCTGCTCATTTCCTCTTGCTCAGACTATTTCATCAGTCTCTAACTTGCTTTCCAGCTCTGCTCTCTCTTTCCCGTCCATCAGCTGTCAGAATCACCTGTCTGGCGGTGTCTCTGCTGCCCCCAGATCGTATCCGTGCACATTCCTTAGTTTGGCATTCTGTGTCCTCGGGGATTGGGGCCCCACCTACCTTTCTGGTTGTCGTCTGCTCTGCTCCTTTACCTACAGGAAGCTCCTGGCAGTACTGTTGCAGCTAGAGTCCCCAGAATTCCCCTTTTCATCCTGTTCATTTCATTTCCTGACTTCCTGCTCAAACTCACTTTTCCAGCTGCTTGTCTTAGAGCACAAGACCAGAGTTGCCCGTTCTTCCCCTCCCCTCTCCTCCCACAGCGCTTCCTAAATTCTCCTCGGTGGAAAAGGAGGAAGCCCACCAGTGATTTTTTTGTGTGTGTGGGGGGTGGGGCTTCTATATGAAAAGTAGAGCATCGGTTGTATTCTTTGTGCCTGTGATCCCAGCTCTATATTAGATAGAGCGCAGCAAATATTTAAGACATGCCTGTTAGTGATAATAACTATCATTTATTGAATGCCTTACTATGCACGAGACTCAACACTGTAATGCTTACTTGAGTAAATCCTTACAGTAGTCTTATGAAGAAGGTGTATTATCATCCAGTTTTACATATGAGAAAATGGGCCCTGAGAATTGAAGGAGCGAGCATGCCCAGTACACAGTAATTAAGTGGCCCAGCCAGGAATGGAACCCAGGCCCGTCCATAAAGTTCACTCAGATACACGCTCGCTTCTGGCACTTGGCTTTGTGTTGTTGCCATTGGGATCCGTGCCTGGTCTCCCCCGTGTGATGTGTGTGCATGATTCAGGGCTGACTCCATTGCAGATCTTGGTATTCCTAGCATAGCTCCGGCAAATTGGAATTCATTCCTTAGATGCTTGCTGTGTGGACCTGCATTCCTCTGTGCCTACTCAATTTAGCATCCTGTAGGACAAACCTGATTTATTTTTATATCTTCTCTGTGTTAACACCCGGTATGCATTCAGGTAGTATTTGTTGAGTGGATGGACCACAGCTATAGGAGACTCACTTGAGTGAGGTGTTCAGCTATAAGATGCCTGACTTTGTGAAGGTGGGCAGTCTCTCTGAGAGACCAAGCCCTCAGATGTTCAGGAGAGAGCCCAGGAAGCATGTGAAGCTGTTCAGAATTGCGAAGAGCTGTACTATGGCCGTGTTGTCCACCTTCAATTTTATCGAGAGTCACAACCACTCTACATGGCAGAGTACACATTCACTAGACTCATTTCACAGTTGAGGAGATTCACTGAGGAAAATAAGTGGAAACTGATATAGTTTTGATTGAACTCAGGCCTCCGGAGCAGAGCTCCTTTCCACGCTGCCTCCTTTGAAAGGCACGCACTGGGTGCTTTCCTACACCAACACCTCGTCCAACACATTGTCCATCAAAACAATCGTCCTGCTCCTTGCTGTCTACGGAGGTGTCCCCAGAGAGCTGATAGTTGCTGTTATAGCCTGAAAGGTTCTATTGTCCTCATGTCACACCCGTGTTTACATTAGTTCTTGAGGCTTGGCAGGTAAGACCTACTGGGTTTTTTGAAGTGTCAGTGAAGTGTGCTACTGTTACCACAGAGTAGGGGTGGGGGTTTTATATGCTCTGAAATATTTCAGGGAATGGCTTCAAATTATTTTGTGGGGCCTGTCGTTTCATCTTTTATTCCACTAACAGTAAAGCAATATTATTTGAATAGAATAGTTACTCAAAGCCTCTTTTGGATACAGCTGAAATCAAAGGAGCCATTTGGGAGAAAATGATACATAAATAATTTTGCATATAGTCCCAGACTTTTTGTGGATCTGCTTCAAAATATCTAGTAGATTGGTTTACCTTTGAAAGTACTATACACACTTCCATTAGGTGAAACCTTAGGTTTTAACATTTTATTATACGGGGAATTTTTTTCACCGGGATTTGTTATAGTGGGATATATTTCTTTATTCCTCCTATGGATTCAACCTTTAAAATATTTTTGTTTCTAAAATAAACATCAATGAGTGAGTGAAGCTACTGGTTTGTATATATTTTTTTCTGTTTTGGTGTCTAATGTTTATTAAACATTGGCTCTTTGGGATAATTTAAGATTTATTAAATATCTACTCAGTAGTTGCGCATATTGTCGAATCTGTCATGTAATTCTCGTTCAGTACTCAGAGTAACTTTATGATGTAAATAGTACTATTCCCATTTTACTAATGAGGAAGCTGGAGGCCTAGAGGTTAAGCCACCTGGCTAAGGTAACATTAGTAGCTAATGGGTCACGATCAGAACCCAGGTTTGCCTCTTCCCTCACTATTCATGGTCTCTCAGAAACTCATTTGCTTGGTTGTAGCAAAGTTTGCCATTAATACTAAAAATCAGTCAAAGCAAAGTATACCTTCAGGAACATAACCTTAAAGGAAATTAAGAAGAATAAGAAAATATACCTTGCATTCTGCTACTCTGACAAACCAAACTAGGACTTTTACCACATCTCTTGACAGCTCAATGTTAAATAGTTACTTGGCAGGATGAGAGGAGAAAAGGTGCCATGAAAGAAGGAACAAAAACGTTTAGGGAGGTAGCTAGATGGCAGGATAATTCTCATCTGTCAGAGTACAGGACCTAAACTCTTAAACACCTGCTTGTTATAGAACCAAGGGTGTCAAACTCATTTTCACCGGGGGCCACATCAGGCTCTCGGTTGCCTTGAAAGGGCAGAACGTGCGTAATTTCAGCTCCTTAACAGTTAAGGAGTAGTTACATTTATACAGTCCTAAAATTATTTTGGCCCTTTGAAGGCAACTGCAAGGCTGATGTGGCCCCCGGTGAAAATGAGTTTGACACCCCTGTGATAGAGTGATCCTGAAATAAAAATCCCACTGGGAAAGATAGTCCACTCCATCTGTGTTCTTTTTTTATTTGGCCAGAGAGAGACCTGTATTGATGTCATGCATCCCTTCACATTTGTGTTGAGCACCAGGGGTTGTGGGAAGGAAGCAGTTTAAGAATGCTTGGAATGAATGAATCTGAACTCCTAGCAAAGGGATTGAACAACAGTGCAGGAGGGAAAACGGAAGATGCTAAGAAAGGAAATGGAAGACCATAGTGAGCCCTTGGCAGCAGCACCTGAAGGAGGTAAACGGGGGGAGGAGCTGCATTATCTTGGAGCCCGAGCTGCTTGTCACTGGTTGCCTGTACCAGTCTTGCTGCATGAAGAAGATAGACTCGTGATTTCTTGGAGTAGTGGTGCTTTTTTGCTTTCTGGTACAAGTCACAGAAGTTTACCAGTATAACTGAAATTGTGTATTGCTAGTCTCTCTTTTTTAAAGTGGCATTTATATAATTATTACCAGTAATTTGACCTTAGGTTAGAAAGTCACTATTCAGTTATTTAAAGATTCACAAGTATAGAAATTCCCATTCTATAAATGATTAGGGGAAACCATTAGACATGAAAGTTTTACTTTGAGGCTACATCTGAATCTCGTGTTCTAAAGGCAGATTTAAGAAGGCAGCATATAATGTGAACATGGCTTAATGACGATGATTCAAGTTACATGTTACTAAGCTTCCTTAGGGACAGAGATGTAGCATAGAGTGAATTAAGCACTGGGAATCACAACTTAATAATATGGTGTAGTCTTTATGTGTTCTGCTGCTTTAAGCAAATTGTGTGGGCTGTTATCTCCTGAGAAATCCCTGTAAATAGTATTAGTAATACTTTATAAGTAGGTTAGGAGAATTAATTTACTTTTGTAAAGCATTTTGAAACTCTTAGATGAAAGGCTTTTTATGGAGCAAATTGGTATTAGCCTGTTTTCCCTTCTCTGAGCCGGGAGAAAATAGGCAAATTAGGGTGGGAAGGGTAATGTACCTTTTGGAGTTCTGAGTTACTTTATTGAATGTGAAGCGGATATTGGAAGTTCCCAAGAATATGGTTAACGATAAAAGCAAACATTTTTGGATTTGGGAGTTGGAATTAGCATTGTGTTTTCATCAAAGATTTAAACAGGTTTAAATATCAGTTTGTAATTGGCCAGACTTGGGGGCAAATTGTGGCACCTTCTTGATCCTGGGTCCCGACTTTGTTTTGCTCTTGATTTTTTCAGAGAAGGGTAAGGCTGAAAAGCAGTCAAGTTTTATTTTCAAAGAGTAAAATGAAAAGCAAGAGCATTTCATTCTCTTAAGCTGTTCTTTGAAATTAAATCTTTTCTTGTCAAGTAACTAGCGGTAGGTCTTGGAACAAAGTTTTTCATCTACATTCATTTATAGATTCAACTGTGTGTACTCAAACACATCCATGTGAAAACAGCTTTGCTTGGAAGATTTATATACCACCCTCTTGCTTTAGAGAAGCCAGCAGTATAATAGGGTAGAATAATATATATTCACAAGTACCCATAATGTGCAGTGTTTCTGAAAAATGTATGCTTCTTTCTCTATTACCCCTACTTAAAACAAAATTATTCCTTTTTAATGTTATGCATACTTGCTGCTCATGTGACTGCCGTGCTGAGGCCATTCTCCAGCTCTACTGGAATTCCCAGTAAACTGGTGGGTGAATTTTCCAATTTAGATTAGTCGCCTGATTTACAGCATTCACTTTCATATTCATATAACAAATTGTGTTTAAAATCTTTTTAGTTTGCTCGCCTTTTAGGGTTCAGATTTACTATCCATTCAGTCTGTGGCCTTTAGCTTTGGGCAAGCTTTCAAATAGCTCTTTCACAGAGAATGTACTCACTTTATCCTCCCACCACCCTTGGATGGTGGAACCAAAGATCACCTGTGTGTAATTCCTCTCGCACCCCAACCCCTGCACCCTGCCCCCACTTTTGAGCTTGCTCTAGCACTGAAATACGCACACTTGGTGAATACCCTCCACCTTCCGTGAGGTAGGTTGGAGGGCGGAGGATGTTGGGCCTTTGAGGGCTTTTGAGAGCCTGTGAAAGTAATTGGCTCAATTTACATTTGTATAATGAATTGAGTTACAAACAACCATCATGCAAATGGATCCTTAGAATTCGGCCTGTTTGTGTAGTGGTTCTGTGGGCCAAGCTCCTTGGCCTTAGCGGGAGTTGATAACTTGGCCAGATTTAATTTTCCAAAAAAAAAAAAAAGATCCTTTGAATCATAGTAAGAATGAAAAATGCAGTATGTTACAGCAAGTGTTTTAAACTGCAGGGCCTTTAGTTTCCCCCCGGTTTTGTCATAGATCATCCAGGTGTTTCTTTGAAAGCTACATGACACTGTCAGTAAACGCTAAAAGAATACCTATGCTGGAGCGGATGTTACTGGGCCTAGGGTCGGGATCCATTGTGGCGTCTGTTCCCTGCGCGCCTGCGGCTCGGCCCGAGCTGGGGCGGGGCTTCCTGGCGTCGCCGGCGGAGCGCATGGGCGTTCGGCGTCCTCGGCGCTGACCGCCGTACAATTTCCGCCGTTGTCGGAAACCTGGCGAAGGCAGTTAGCGGAGCGCCGGCTGAGCTCCCGCGGTCACCAGCATGACAGATGAAAAAGACTCCCTGAGGGGACGCGAGGAGAAAGCGGAGGAGCCGGGCGTGCGGGCCATCAGCAGCAGTGCGTACTCCGTGAAGCAGCAGGCGACGGAGGAGGAGGAAGAGCCCATGAAGGTGGAAGAGGCGCTGGGGGCCGATGGCTGCTCTGACAGCTGCTCTGACGGCTGCTCTGACGACTGCTCTGACGACTTCAGCTTTGGGGAGGCCCACATAGATCCCAATCTCCTGGGGCTTGCGGCTGACGAGGAGAAGTGCCGGAATATCCGCAAGCAGTACCGGCAGCTCATCCACAACGTCCAGCAGAACCGCGAAGACATAGTGAACACGGCGAGCGACTCCTTAACCGAGGCCCTGGAGGAAGCCAATGTCCTGTTCGATGCAGTGAGCCGAACAAGAGAAGCAGCTCTGGATGCCCAGTTCCTTGTTTTGGCTTCTGATTTGGGTAAAGAAAAAGCCAAGCAGCTAAATTCTGATATGAGCTATTTTAATCAAGTTGCATTTTGTGACTTTCTGTTTATATTTGTGGGCATGAACTGGATGGAAGATGATGAACATAATGAGTTGAGCGGTTGTGATGATAATATAGCTCTTTCCTTCTGGGAGACAGTGCACAAAGAAGCAACATCCTGGATATTGCGAGCTGAAACATTTCACTTTATTTTTGGTTCATTCAAGTCACAGTCTTCTGCCCCAAAACACCGATCTGAATACCATAGAAAAGCTCACAGAATGGAAGAAAATGGGGATATGCCTACAAAGCTGAGGAGGCTGGACCTGAGTAGTAATCAAGAAGCCACAGAAAAAGAAGTGGAAAGAATCTTGGGATTGTTGCAAACGTACTTTCGAAAGTATCCTGATACTCCTGTGTCCTATTTTGAGTTTGTGGTTGATCCAAAGTCTTTTTCTCGTACTGTGGAGAATATATTTTATGTTTCTTTCATTATAAGGGATGGTTTTGCCAGAATAAGGCTTGACCAAGACAGGCTGCCAATATTAGAGCCAATTAATATTAACCAAGTGGGTGAGGGAAGTGATCCCAGTTCCCATGGCAGGAAACAAGGAGTTATATCCTTGAGTTTACAGGACTGGAAAAATATTGTGGCGACTTTTGAAATTTCAGAGGCTATGATCACAAACTCCTACTAACTATTTTTGTTCTTAGTATAGGGTGCATTTTGTGGCTTTTCTAAAGTATCTCAAAATAGAGTGTAAAATCCAAACAGAAGCACATATTGTACCTCTTGTAAAGTGAAAAAGTACTTTCCAGAACATCAGAAATTGTTTTACCGTGCAGTGTATTTTTTTTCTTGGTAGTTTATAAAGTTGTCGTGATCTGTTGTTAAAAGAAAATACTGGCATGTTCATGGAAAAAGTTTTTGGATGTCCTTTAAGACTTTATTAATAAAAATCGGTTCAAAAGTTCAGAAATTAAAAGGTATTTTATATTTACAAAAACAAATTAGGTACGATGCGCTGTGATACTGTGTTCTTCTGTTACAGGGAACGAAGGGAATCCCATATGGGACTCCTAATCAGGTTGGGGAAAGAGTGGGTAAAAAACTGGTAAAGAAAGACTATCAGTAGGTCAGTGAATTTGCAATATTATTAACATTGTAAAAAAAAAAATCAGTTGCCCTGCTTCATTGCTAGGACAACTCGAATGAATTAGTGGGTATCCATATTCTAAATACTTCTTCTGTGATTAGACTCAAAAGCAGTAGGGTGTCTACTGTATTAGGTGAGGCATCTAAGCGCTGAGTAGGAATTGGTCACAGTTGGGAACGGTATACTGAGCAGGGGACATGGAAGCCAAATACGTGGAATCATGAGAAGGTATGGCACCGGAGAGCCGTAACTTTTTTTTCATTTTAGCTGTTCCATTTGAATGTTAAACTGGGCAAAAATTCACTTACTTTGTCGATTAGTCCTCAGAGGTAGATGATATTTTTTTCAGATTATTTGAGACAATATCTTTCAATATGCAGTTCTAGTCTGTATCTACTTGGTTAATTTCTTCCCTGGTCCCTAGTTTCTCTTTGTAATTTTTGCTAGTACACAGAATGTCCTTCAGAAATCAGTGGTGTTTCATTATGTAACAACCTTGAATATTTGTTTTTAATTCAATTTTGCATTTCTTAATAGGACTTTAAATGCCTGGAAACTTCCTGGTTCCCCCGAAATAGTTGATTGATTTATTCATAAAACCATAATTTCTTCTTTTTGTTACTTTTGATTGTTTTAAAAATGTAAATTGCATCCTTATTTGGAGGTTATTGCCAAAACTTTAGGTCTTTAAAAACCAGTTTTTGAAGGTACAGAGAGCACACCAATAAACCTTTTTGCCCCATTTCTATAGGACTTTACGTTGGTACTGGTGGATTTTGCCATTGTTTGGCAAGTGGATAAGTATTTTGCATAGCAGTAATGGTAAGTTTTCCTGCTAAGTCTAATGTGGTATGAGGAGGGAAATCCAAAGGCTAAATGAGTAACATCAGGTTGAGAGGAGAGATCTTATATGTGAGTGGCGGGAGGTAGGGGGAGAGGGAAAGGCTCTTTAGTGATAGTGAAGGTTTTTAGCAAACAAATTTCTCACCAAACTTGGCCAATTATTTTCCTAGCAGATGAACCCTTAGAGTTTGTGGTCAGTGTGTAGTGGAGGTTCTGCATGTCATGATCTTGACCTTCCCCGCAGTTCATCATCTAAACAGGTTAGTTTTCACTCAAAAATGTGAAGGAATGCTGACTATTCCTGGTGTCTACCACCCTCTTGTTTAGCAGCTGGGAAGGCATCTTTCAGTCTTGCAGATCCTCATTTTCGCATGTCTTCCCTGAGTTCCTTGGTTTCCAGAGATTTGCTGCTTGAGGAAAAGGTACTCTTCAAATGATAGCAAAAAGATCTTGTTTCAGTTCTTTACTTGCCATCCAGTTGCTCTGTCAAATGCCCAGAGTCTTTATTCTGAGGAGTGAGACTCGGTGATGACTAGAAGTGTTAACAGAGAACGTGAAGGTTTGGGGTCTTCTCTACAGTTACAGCTGTTAAGGTATCAGTCGAGTTGACCTCTTATTTTTGTTTTTACTGGTTGTCATGATACCTGGGTCATCTCTTCACTTTGAAATTAGAGTGACTGCTTGCTTACCTTGAAGAAAAAGGAGAATTGACCAATAGATAATTGAATTATAGAGATTAGGTATCAAACTACACATTTGCTGGTTTCCCAATAATGGAGTGGCTTAAATGCCACAACTTCAATAAAATCAACTGAAGAATATTACAAGAAAAAAAATTTTTTTTTATCAGAACTTTGGTAGGTAACAACCACTTTCTGATCTAAGGACCTGGGATTAGATTCTGACCCTTTAACATTCTAATAGAGACTTTGGGCAGATTATTGAACCGGTAAACTTTAGGTTTTTAGTTTACTAAGTGGAAATAATGCCAATCTCAAATTTACCATAAGGATAAAATTAGAAAATGTGTGTGACAAGTACTTTGAAATATGAATAACTGAGTGTGGTATAGTGAGAAAAGCAAGAGATTTGTAGTCGAACAGAGCTGGATTTCATTCTTACTAATGGGCGAGGCTCTTAATCTCTTAAGGACTTCTATATTGTCCTTTCTGAAATAGGGAAGACATCTGCTCGGAAGACTATTGTGAGGATTAAATGGGGTGGAACAGCCTGTGCTAAGTGCCCCGACCAGGTGTGTGAATAGAGCCGCAGGAAAGAAAAGGAGAATGTGGTTTAGGAACTTTAGGGAGATGCTGGAGGAAATGGGACTTATGTTGGACTCTTAGAATGTTGATAAAAGGACCCTTTGAACTCTCAGCCTGCCTGTGTATTGGATCGGGATTTGACCAGGAGAGGGTATTTCAGGTAGGGGGCAGTGCAGAGAAGTGCAAGGGACATCTGTTAAACACTCCAGAGCTTTGGGATTTAGTCCCAGGCAGGCTCCCTTCTTTGGGTAGGGGAGCGTTAGTAACTGACAGGGGTTTTTCCTCCCAGCCACTGTGCTAATGTGTATTATCTCACTTAAACTGCAGTTTGGTGAGTTACAGAGGTATGTTAACTTGACAAATGAAAACACAGGGACTTCTAAAAACATGCAGTTAGCACAAGTTGCGTAGCTTAGAGAGCAGTAGAGCAAGTGTTTTAACCCAGGTCAGTTCAACACCAGAACGCAGGTCTAATGGTAAGGAAACCCAGTATAAATCTGTGTCTAAGGATATAAATTCTGTTTGTGGGAAATAAATATTATTTATCCTAGTTTTAAAGAAATCCAGTACACTTGAATTGCTTTTGGCCTTCTTCAGGGGAATCTGGAGCAGTGTTTTACTGGGGTGGGGGGAAAGGCGCCGCTGAGAGGCAGATGGAAGAGAGGGAAGAGTAGCCACTACAGAAGCCTGCAAACACCTGCAGGTGAGGTGCCCTGTATTTGCACTTGCGTCCTGTTGCAGTGGTTCTCAGCGTGGTCTGCATCCCTCTGAGGCCCTTTCAGGAAGTCCTGAGGTCAAAAATACCTTCACGATACCAAGACTCTGTTTGTTCTTTTCACCCGAATTCTCTTTTAAGTCTACCATGGAATTTTCCAGAAGCTATGTACGTGACATGTTGCAACAGAGTGAACACAGAAAAGATAGGGGCTGCCTTTTATCAAGACAGACATTAAAGAGAATTGCAAAGATACTGTGCAAAGCAGTGCCACTCTTTTACTAATTAACAGTTTTTAAATAAATTATGTTTAACATTTAAGAAATTTAATACTTTAATAATTTAAAAGATTTAAATTTTTCTCTTAGTTTTAATTTTTAATATGCTAAATGTTATAAACAAACCCCACTGACCAGAGCTCTTTGGGATCCTAAATAATTTAAGGTGGTAAAGGAATCCTGAGACTAAGAAGTGTGAGGATGCCTCTTCTATGTCCGCCACTATGATCAGCAGCCGCTATTTCTAGCAGTTGTAATTGGAGGAGGGAGGGGGACCACTTTTTTTTCCTTGGGTCCTTACCCCCTGTGCACGCTCCTTCCTCACGATGCCTGGGGGGGGGCTGTCTCCTACTGTCTGTCCTACTTATGTTTCAGCAGGGACACCACTTACCTGGAGCTGAATGACAGCAATTGCACTTTTAAGTCAGATTAAAATGTAAAGATACCGTGTGTGTAGTTCCGGGGTCAGGTGAATGTTTCAGTTGCCTATATCTTACTGATTGTGTAGTTAAAAATGTTCAGGCTCACTCAGAGCTTTCTTTGTAAAGTCTGGGCACTGATTGATATAATTTGACTTTAACCTTGGACTCTCTGGTACAGAATTTCGGTACAGATTAGATTAGAAACGTTGTTGGAGGGAATGTGTGGCTTTTCAGCATGACAGTGCACTTTTTCCCTGTTCTAGCAGATATGTTGGGGAGGTGGCTGCAGAAACGGTCGTTTTAAACAGCCAGTAATGTGTTCTGGCACCATCTGTGCAAAGTACTTGCAGATAAAGTGAGGCTGAGATTAAATGTAGTTGTTTTCCAGGAGAACACCAAGCTGCACTTATTAATCCTTTCAAACCAGCAAGTCAGCTTTGTGCTCTTTGAGACAAACTAGAGAATAACACTTGCTATCTGAAGATTGTATTGATCCTTTGATTCAAATACCTGTTATTTCCAAATTCTTTTCCCCCCACAGTGCCCTGTGTCGAAGGAAGACCCTGTGCCATAATGCCAATTGATGAATACTGGCTGTGTTTGCCAGCCACTCATGTTAGACCTTTTGTACAGACGGTCAGGGTGACGCGGTCTGGTCCCCACTGTTGCTGGTTTCCAGGTGTTCTGCCTTCATTCCCCGGGCCCTCCTGGGTTCCCACAGTGCTGCCTCCAATGCCGCCGCCTCCTCCTCCTCCTCCTCCACCACCACCTTCTCCGCCACCTTCCTCCACTGCGCCCCCTCCCACACCCCAAGCATCCTGTTCTGCTGACCCTGAACTCTGCCTTTCACCCCCTCCACCTGACTGTAGGCAGGAGAAAAATGTACAGTCTAGGCTGGTAAGTTCGGGGGCTTTTTTGTATGAAAGTTAAAACTTAATTTTTGATGAGCATCAAAAAAAAGCGGTCCTGACTTTACCAGGTTTTATCTCATGTTAGCACAGATTTTTGTTTTAATAAAAGGTAATATTAAATATGTCACCAAAACAGTATTTAATAAGAAATGATAAAAAATGTGTATAAAAACTAGGGGAATGAAATGGTTTTTTTAAACTTGAAGGTCTATCTGGGGGTGGGGGGGTATAAGGGAACTAAAAGGTAATGGAAAAAAACAATAAATAGAAATATTCATCATAAAAATTCAATTAAAGATAAAAATACAATAAAAAAACCTAACAGTCATATTGTAAAGCTTGTTATGTGTTAAGTACATGGAAACTAAATAATAAATACAGCATAGGAGGCTTTGCACGTAAGTAGAGGAGTGAGCCTTATAGAGCCATGTGTGTTTATTTATTCCCCCTTTTGCTTATTATGCAAAAGCGGGGACTTTTAACTTTTTCTGCGGGTTTATGTTAGTTCATGATTTAGTTCTGAATTTCTAGACTTTAGGCCTTACCTAAAAAAATGGAGAAAACCCTTAAGTATTTGACTGTCTGTCTTCACAGCTATTTACCCGGCCCCTGTTGTCATCTAAGATGTAAGCCCACTCATTATTCTACCTTTGACCAGAAAGTAAACATAATTGACAAATTGTATCAGTGATTCTGTTTAAAAACATACGTTACAAATGTTTTAAAAACCTACTTTAAAAGTGCTAGGATAGAAGGGCTGGTCCAGCTTAATTTAGGCCTAGACTGTGTCGCTGGGCCAGCGGGACCTTCCTCCCGCAACACTTCACGGTAGCTTCTCTGCGATGTGAGGGGTCCAGCGCTTCCATTTGTGTGCGTCGTGTAAACCAAACAGCACTGTTTCCTGTGAAAGTTCCCTTTGCTTTTCTTCAAAGAAAGGTTTTCTCACACAGCTTTTCAGGCACTGCTGCTTTTAAGTTAAAGCCTTTTCCTTTCTGTTGTTTTTCTTCGTTAGGCTTATCAGGAGGGCAGACTTCAAACGCTACTGAAAATGAACGGCTCCGAGGAGCTCCCCGAGTCCTACGACTATGACCTCATCGTCATCGGAGGGGGCTCGGGAGGACTGGCAGCCGCCAAGGCAAGGCTCCCTGCGTGTGCTGCGGGTCGCGCCAGGTCTCCAGGTTCCTGGTGGGGTTTGTCTGGGCCACTCTGGTCACACTTTGCACATTCACTTGGATAGAACATGTCAAGGGGACCACGGTGTCAATCATTTTTCCAGATTGAACTATGTGTTCTTTACATGAAAGTACTAAGCCCAGTGTTTCCAGTGCATTTTCATTCATTAAATAAATACAACACCTTTGGGTTGAAATTTAATAAATATATTTCTATTCTTAAGTACTATTAATATTTTTTCACTTTGATTCCCCTGTTCACAACTCCTTCTCCCCAGTAGAAAGATGGAGAGCAGTTAGATTTCTTAAACCCAGTAAAAGTGATTTGCCTCTTGTGTATCTAAAGGGAGCTAAGAGAATAGCTACTGGCCGTGGCCTGGGAGTGACAAAGGGAGGTAGGAATGAGGCTCCTGGCCATGAATTGAGATACATTTTTTCGTGCGTGAAGGGGCCTTTGGAACTGTCATTCTTGCTGAAGAGTTTCTTTTAAAAGATGAAGTGCTTATACTCCTTGAAGGTGTAGCTTGTGGTGAATCAGTAACGGTAGATTCGAAAGAAGCTTCCCCAATTAGGAACAGGCCAGCATCTGGTGTCGAGCAGCGCTTTGCTATAAATGACTCTGGAGTAATACTGAGTGTGTGTATTTTGCTGTAGTGATTGATGGTGATTTTGAAAGACACGTAGACTCAGTACTTGGAGATAATTCTCATACGTCTTGGAAGCTGCCAGTACACAAAGCTTATTCTCTGAGAAACATAATGGACACTCTCCAGAATGAACTTCTGTCATGGTTCCCCTAGAACAGATTTGGAGACCTTAGAGGTGCCAGGTTTTCATTTGCTCTTCACATGAAGATTTTAGTAAATCACAATTTCAACAGAAAAACTTCTCTAACAGTCTGCTTAGAAGCAAAAGTAATATTAGAGGATACATTTGGAATCAAGGGTTATAGACTATCTGTAAATCTGTTTTGCTGGCTAGTTTAGAAATACTCATATGTTTTTCAGATTATTGCTTAGTTTGTTACTGGGTGAGTGGGATTATGTAAGACCGTGCTAGGGTTTCCAGTTGGTGGACAATTTTATAACTGTAATCTACTTATTCTTAAAGCTACTCTTATGATTATCTAAGCATTGCTTCATTTTTTTTCTGAAGTAGCACTGATTATACGAAATTCCCAGCTATTAATCACTGGTTACTGGCTATGCTTTAGGCATTGTAGCCTAATAAAAGCAGCATAGATTTTCATCATCCCATTTCCGGTCTGTCATGTTAGCCTCTCCAACTCATTTTAATAACCTCATTTTCCAGGAGGCTGCCAGATTTGACCAGAAGGTGATGGTCCTGGATTTTGTCACTCCAACTCCTCTTGGAACTAGATGGGGTAAGTTTTAAAAATATTTTAGAAGTGAATTTGTAGGAGCAGGTTTTTCCTTGATATTGGTTTCAATGGTTTCTAAAACCCAATTATAAAAAAACAAAACAAAACATGTTACCTCTTTTATGCTAAGTTAAAGTGGACTCCAGTTAAATGTTGAAAATTTAGGTTCTGCCCTGGCCAGGTGGCTCAGTTGGTTGGAATGTTGTCCTGATACAACAAAAGTTTGGCCCAAACTAAACCTTCTGGTGTATAAGTTTAGTTTAGTTTAGTTGGGTGGGTTCAGTTCCCAGTCAGGGCACATAACTCGGTTGCAGGTTTGATCCCTGGTCAGGGCGGCAACCCAGTGAGGTTTCTCTCTCATCACCACCCCCCCCGCCCCCGTTTCTTTTTTTCTCCCTCTTTCTCTCCCCCCTCCCTCTCCCCCTCTTTCTCTCTCAAATCAATAAAAACATATCCTTGGGTGAGGATTTAAAACAATGCTCACATTTGAGGCCTGCGCAGCTCCCAGCCTGTCCGTGGTTTGGTGTTGCTATCTGCCTCATAAAGCAAAGCAGAAGGTGTGTCTTCTGGGGAGACTAAGTGGTCTTCTCCTCTGAAAATGCCTCCTACATAGTTGGTTTTGGCCTCTTTCAAGAACAGGAGGGCAAGGATCGGGGCCTCACGGCTTCGGGTTTTCGTCTGAGGTAGAGAGAGAAGAGAGTGGCTCTAACCAGAAAGTGCATAGGGCGGTGGTTACATCCAGGACACGCCGTCGTTAACCCGGCTTGGGCTTCATGGCGGTCGTGGGGCTTGATTCCTTGGTAATAAAATAGTAATAAAAATACAGTTTATAAAATGCTCATATACACCCAATTTTATGTGTACCTTCAAAGCCACTCCAGTCCAACCATGCTCAGCTTCACAGCCCCTCCGTCAGGTAGCTCTGTTCATAGATTCAGTGGCAAATACAGGCTTGTGCACAAAGTCAAATTTCAATTTCTGGCATCTTTACCAGCAGTCAATTACTTTGAACCTTTGAAGTATGTGGAATTCATAGAAATCTGCTCATTTTTGTACTGTTTTCAGATGGCTCTGTTTGGTATGTAAGGCTGTCTGGACTTAGAAATGTCATGAGACTTGGGAATAAACTTGTACAAACAGTATTGACTCCATTAAGGGTTTACCATTAAGAATGGTTAACGACTGTGGACCTTTTCCTTTGAAGGACCGTAGAGCAGCCTGTAAACTGGCATCTCAATGTTGTTACAGGTCTCGGAGGAACGTGTGTGAACGTGGGTTGCATACCGAAGAAACTGATGCACCAAGCAGCTTTGTTAGGACAAGCCCTCAGGGACTCTCGCAACTACGGGTGGAAAGTCGAGGAGATGGGTAGGTGCGGGGGGAGCAGTGGTTCCATTTGTGCTTTGGGGGAGTTCGAGCCGTGATCTCTCAGTGTATCATCCATTTCTGTGTGACTAGCATTAACCTGGAAGTGGTTTTTATTGTTTACATTTTAAAAGGATAAAGTCACTGCAGTTATCCTGCGTCAGGTGGCTACACAGTTATTATGGTAAGAACAGATGTTGCACTTGGAGTGTCTTTCTCTAATGGGAAACCAGAATCCTTCCACATAAATGCTCATCATTAGAGAGTTTCCCAGGAGGGTATAAGTTCCATTGACTCTCTTTTGAAGCCATGCATTTTTCTTGATGCAAAGAAGTCTGTTTCATGAGCTGATAGTTGGGGGGTGGAGAGATAGCTTGCCTTTTGAGAAGAGAGAGGATGGTTAGTCTCTGTCGAATTAAAAATATTTAGAGTACCCTAGGAAAGTTGAGGCATTTGTTGACTTTACAAAGTACGTTGCATTATCTGGGAGGAGAATAACATGAGGGCTGGCATGGTTTTGTGGCTCATTAATGACCTAGGTCACTGTGTCCTCCAAGTGTGAAACTGCAGCCCCTGTCTGAGTTTAGTTTTGAGATCTGCGGGTTATGGGACAATCGAGGGAAGATCTTCCAGCTAGTAGCTAGGGTAAATTATTTTGTGGTCTTTTAAAAAATTTTTTGTTTTAGTTTTAATTAATAGTTTATTATTAAAAAAACGAAAACGAAAAACCCCAAGCATAAATGCATGCTTTGAAAAACTTTGCTTTCTGCTCATACTGGTCGTGCTTCCTTTACTGGTGCTTTTCTTTTTCATTTAAGCTCAACAGTACTTTTTTTTCAAGTCTGAAATCTTAGAAATCAGTTCCTTTAAAAGTTTTCCTGGGGTTATAGCTCTTTCCTCAGACCCTTAGAAGGCTGCTTCCTGGGTCTTTCAAATCTTAAAAAGGTAAGAGGTAAGTACAGGCCTCTGCTGAAGGTGAATTTTATTAAAGGGCCAACTGAGCTGTTGAATCTGATAGACTCAGCAGTCAGGTGGGCGGTAAAACAACCTGGTAAATTTGATGTCTTCTTTCCAGCAGAAGAATATCCCTGTCTCTGGCATGTAACAGTAATAAGCCCCTACCATCAGAGTCACATCTGTCTGTTAAAACCAGCAAATACTCCCTGAATGTCACAGTCTTAAAGTCATTTATCTTACTTGTCTGTTCTTACAAAAATTAATTTATCCAACCAATTTACCAGTTTTACCTTTTGTATTTCTTCCCCCTTTCCAGACTGTAAGGTAGAAATACAGTTTTCTGTCTTTATACCTTTCACCTCTTGTATTTGTCAGCAGCAGAAGCAATACTCCTGCAGTCTTTGATGAGGGCCCAAGAACTGTGCCCTCTCGTTAGATCCCTCCCCCTTCGGAACTCAAGCCTGGTGGTTTGTTTATTGTTATCTGCAGCTTTTCTCATTCAACCTTGGGTTTTCTGAAGGAAGCTGGGGCCTGGCTATGAGGACCAGGGCTGAGCTTTGTGGGAGTGGCCTGCCAGGGTCTACCACTGAGGGAGCAGTATTGCCTCCCTTTTGTGTGTGTCTGTGTGTGCTAGAAATGATTGTGGTGAAAAATCAGTGGGTTTAGGCAAGTGTTTATGTCTTTAGGTCTTAAAGGAAGAAGGAAACTTGGAAATTTATTTTTCAGATGAGAAACCCCTGGAGGTTGCTGATCAATGTTCCCATAAAGGCTTATTTTGCATTTTTCAAATAGAAACACATCTGATCTCTTGAACAAAGCGCAGTGCTCCAGTTTTCTGGGAAGGCTGTCTTCTCCGCTCACAGCTGGTGAAGGAGGAAAGGGACCTGGGCTGGGCAGCACAGCTGCATCTGCCTGGAGACCGGGGAGTGACGGGTCTGGGACTCGGCCTGTGATCTGCCCTTTTCCTGAAGCTCCAAATGGAGAATGGACAGAGGAAGTCTCAGGCCTTAAAAACAAAATTACTGGAGCTCAGTTGGGTAAACTGAATGGATGCCTCTGGAAGATTTGTGGGCTTTATATTTTTTCAGATTTCTCTCTTTGACTTCTATGCTTAAGTGTTAAATATACATTTAAAATAGTAAGTATTCTGGAAGTTTTAGAATCCCATTGTCAATACAGAGAAAGCCAGCTAGCCCTGGCTTGTGTGACTCAGTGGATTGAGCCCCAGCCTATGAACGGAAAGGTCAGCAGTTCAGTTCCCAGTCAGGGCAGGTGCCCAGGTTGCAGGCCAGGTCCCCTGTTGGGGGTGAGGCAATCAATTGATGTATCTCTGTCATTGATGTCTCTCTCTCTCTCTCTCACCCTATCCCTCTTTCTAAAAGCAAATAAATAAAGTCTTTTTAAAAAAGAAAAGAAGAAGAAAGCCAGCTCATTGGTTTGTAGTTGGGGGCTTGCAGTTTGGGGGTATATTCTACCACAGTGTGTGTCTGTGTCTGCCACGGGGTTAGCGTGCAGCCCGGGGTGTGCCGTGCCTCCTTCACTTCCCTGTGTGCACGACAGAAGTAATTCATGCCCCTTCGGGTGCTTTCAGGTCCACGTGGAGGGCGCACTGAAAATGTTAAAGATGCTAAGTAGTTTCGCTAGTCCGACTATTGTTGTCAAATTTAAGGGTATGGCCTGGCTCTCTGTAGTGGGCTGGGGGCAGATGAGCAGCAACACAGTTGGCTTAACATCCACTTGTGGCCCTGGCTGGTGTAGTTCAGTAGATTGAGCATGGGCCTGTGAACCAAAGGATCACCAGTTCGATTCCTGGTCAGGGCACATGCCTGGGTTGCAGGCCAGGCCCCCAGTAGGGGGCACGTGAGAGGCAACCACACATTGGTGTTTCTCTCCCTCTCTCCTTCCCTTCCCCTCTCTCTAAAAATAAGTAAATAAAATCTTTACGTATAAAAAGAAAAGATCCAGTTGCCGTGGTGGGCACAAGAGCACACCCAGGTGAGACACAGGTCCTGCCTGGCCAGCTCGAGGCGACGTTCAGTGGGTCAGCGTTGGATTTGAACTGTTTTGTCCTATTTTCTTGTGCAGTTAAACATGACTGGGAGAAGATGACAGAAGCTGTGCAGAGTCACATCGGCTCCCTGAACTGGGGCTACCGGGTGGCTCTGCGGGAGAAGAAAGTCACCTACGAGAACGCGTACGGGCAGTTTGTTGGTCCTCACAGGATTAAGGTAATGATGGTGTGGCAGCCTGAGGGACTTGTTGGTGTTAAGCTTTGGTTGGAGGTCTGGGAGGAAAAGAGAAGGTGATTATGCTAATGAAAGGAATAGCCACGGTGACCCACAGTTGTCCAGTGTGGGGGTTTTGCCGTCCCATCTTCTTACGGGGCTTTCGCTGTGGTGCGGCAGAGGGTCACAGTGCCGGGTCCAGGGCCAGACCACCTGGCTTTGAGCCTCGGCTCTGCCGCTTACTAGCACCGTGACCTTGAGAAAGTCCCTTGCTTACTCTGAGCGTTAATATCTCCAATGTATTACCAAATTTTTATGAGAATCAAATTGGATAGTGAGGTGAGTAGCCTTTGTTAACTGTAACTTCTAGGAGATAACAACTATTAAAAGCTGACAAATTGGTTCCTTTGTAGACAACAAATAACAAAGGCAAAGAAAAAATCTACTCAGCAAAGAGATTTCTCATTGCTACTGGTGAAAGGCCGCGTTACTTGGGCATCCCCGGTGACAAAGAACACTGCATCAGTAGGTAAGGACACGTCAGCCAAGAAAAACCACTGTGGACTTAAGGTTTGGCTTTTTTCTTCAAACCCATTTTGTCTGTTTCCTGGAACTTAGCCAATTTTGGGGAGCAGGGCCATATTTTTGCTCAATGGGGCAGGGGATTGGGAAAAAGAGAAAGGAAAAATTAGGCAAGAGAACATTTAAAAAATTCAATACCTAAACATTGGTCATCTGACCATCCAGAGTTTACATCACGACTGACATACAGATATATGCTTATGTTGAAAGTTACATTTGTGTGAGTATATTTTATAAACGTGTGATGTAAAATGAGATGGAGCCCTGGCTGGGTGGCTCAGGTGGTCGGAGTGTTTCCAGTAGGCCCAGGTCGCAGGCCTGGTTTCTGATCAGGATACATACCTGGGTTGTGTGTTTGATCCCAGGTTCCTCTCTCACATCAATCTTTCTCCTTCTTTCTCTAAAGTTGATAAACATATCCTTGGATGGGGATTAAAACAAAACAAAACAAAAAACAGATGAATAATCACAAACATTTTATAAATGATAGACATGTACGTGCGTACTTTTTGCAAAACTAGGATCATCTGTTACCTCACCCTTTACACCTGCAGTGTGGACACGGAAAGCGTTGGAGGACGGCAGACCATTTAGGTTTATGAAACCCCGGGCCCCATTCACTGTTGTCCGAATGGTCACAGCATCAGGGGAGACGGACCTCCTGAAATAACTGAGTCAGGCAGGAAGGTTTTGCTAGAGATTTATTTTAGTGCATGAAGTGATAGTACTGGTGACAGTTTTTCAGATGTTTAAAATTATGAAGACATGAAGACAGATTGTTGATCAATATGTCCTCTTGGATGCCTTTTCTCCAGGATTTCCTGATTGTGTTATAAATTACTCTTTTCTCAGGGGAGGAGGGAAATATTTTTTTCCTTTGTGCCTCAAACAGGGCAGCTCAGATGGTAGCTGTTGTCTTTGTGATCTTGAATAGGCTCCTTTCTCGTATTTTAAATTTTTCATTTTCTAACAGTGCTTTTGTGATACCATTCATGTCACCCATAGTCTTCACTTGACCAGAAGATTTTGTCAGATTTTATTTTTATTTTATTTATTTATTAGATTTTACTTTTTAAAAAATATATTTTATTGATTATGCTATTACAGTTGTCCCATTTTCCCTCCTTCATTCCCCTCCACCCTGCGCACCCTCTTCCACCCACATTCTACCCCCTTATTTCATGTCCATGTGTCATAAGTTCTTTAGCTTCTGCATTTCCCATACTGTTCTTGCCCTCCCCCTATTTTCTACCTACCTTCCATGCTTCTTATTCACTGAACCTTTTTTCCCTCTCTCCTCCTCCCACTCCCCAGTTGCTAACCCTCCATGTGATCTCCATTTCTGTGGTTCTGTTCCTGTTCTAGTTGTTTGCTTAGTTTGTTTTTGTTTTAGGTGTGGTTGTTAATAATTGTGAGTTTGCTGTCATTTTACTGTACATGTTTTTTCTTACTGTACATGTATCTTTTTTTCTTAGATAAGTCCCTCTAACATTTCATATAATAAGGGCTTGGTGATGATGAACTCCTTGAATTTGATCTTATCTGAGAAGCACTTTATCTGTCCTTCCATTCTAAATGAAAGCTTTGCTGGATAGATCAATCTTGGTTGTAGGTCTTTGGATTTCATGACTTGGAATACCTCTTTCCAGCCCCTTCTTGCCTGTAAGGTCTCTTTTGAGAAATCAGCTGACAGTCTGATGGGAACTCTTTTGGAGCTAGGTGACTATCTCCTTTTTCTTGCTGCTTCTAGAATTCTCTCCTTCATTTTAATTTTGGCTAATATAATTATGATGTACCTCGGTGTGTTCCTCCTTGGGTCTGGTCTGCCTTCTTTGGGACTCTCTGAGCTTCCTGGACTCCCTGGAAGTCTATTACCCTTGCCAGATTGGGGAAGTTCTCCTTTATTATTTGTTCAAATAATTTTTCTACTTGTTACTCTTCCTTCTCTGGTACCCCTATAATTCGGATGTTGGAACAGTTAAAGATGTCCTGGAGGTTCCCAAGCCTCTCCTCATTTTTTTGAATTCTTGTTTCTTCATTTTTTTCTGTTTGGTTGTTTCTTTCTTTCTTCTGATCCACTCCATTGATTTGAATTCCAGTTTTCTTCTCGTCACTATTGATTGCCTGTACATTTTCCTTCATTTCACTAAGTGTAGCCTTCATTTTTTTCATCTAATTTGCAATGAAATTCAACCAGTTCTGTGAGCATCCTGATCACCAGTGCTTTGAACTGTGCGTCTCTGATAGGTTGGCTATCTCTTGGTCACTTAGTTGTATTTTTTCTGGAGCTTTGATCTGTTCTTCTGTATGCCCCCCCCCTTTTTCTGGTAGGGGGGTCTTGTGCCTGTTACGTAGTGACGAGTGGAGCCTTAGGTGTCCACCAGGGCGGGTCAGCCCAGTAGCTGGGTTGTGACTGGTCTGGATGAATGTGTCTATTTTAACTCCTTGGTTGTCAAGACTTCTGTACAGTTCAGTTTTCTGTCAGTTCTGGTTGGTTTTTTTTTTTGTTTCTAAATTTTTGTCCTTATTTTGGTTGTGCGAGGAGGCACAGTGTGTCTACCTACCCCTCCATCTTGGCCGGAAGTTACAGATTTTACTTTTTCTAGTTGGCTTTTATATTACAAAGATAGTATGTCGAGTTCATTCCCACCCTTCTCCCCACTCTTGGTAATTGGCATTCCACATGAGAAGTAACAGATTTTCCCCCTCAGAGAGAGCTGAGTGGTGGGCTGAGGATTTGGGTTTTCAAGTACATGATACTAAACACGTGAGTGGAGAACTTGCCCAGACAGGTCAGCGTGGTTTGGGCTGTGAGTCGGGCACTGTCAGAAGTTAGACGGCGTGCTGTGCTCGGCCAGGGCAGCTCGAGCTTCTCCCCAGGCAACTGGGTGGCAAGAAGGTGGCGTCTAAGACCTCGTAAAAACTTCTTGTATATTATGTGTGTCACCAATTAAATGTTTTAAGTCTCGAAAGTGTCTTGTTTATAATAAAGAAAGTAGAAATATTTACTTTGATTTGGTCATGATTCACATATGAACATTTTTCTGTTTCTTTTTTTTATAAAAATTTCTTTTCAGTGATGATCTCTTCTCCTTGCCTTATTGCCCGGGGAAGACCCTGGTGGTCGGTGCGTCCTATGTCGCTTTGGAATGTGCTGGATTTCTCGCTGGCATTGGTCTAGATGTCACCGTTATGGTACGGTCCATTCTCCTTAGAGGATTTGACCAGGACATGGCCAACAAAATTGGTGAATATATGGAGGAACATGGTGTCAAGTTTATAAGACAGTTTGTACCAATAAAAGTAAGTGGAATTGCCCATAAGTTTGTTGATTCTATACTAAGGTTAAAAATCAGGAAAGAGAGTCGTGCGCGTGATAGAAGCATCCTCTCGGTATTATAAACCGTTAGGAATGCTGCCGTTTCTCAGTTTTGTGATATTGGTGTATAAACTTGTACACCTACCACCTAAATAGCTTTGTTCTTATTTGAAGAGTAATAATTTAATTTCCTTTTCTGTTTTTTTGCCTTTGCTTCTCTTTTGTTTAATGCTTCACTTTATGCATTCCTTTATTTCTTTGGTCTGTTGTATATATTGTTTCTTCATATATACCAGTGATATAAATAAGAATTCAAGACTAGGCTGATTTAAAATTATTTTACAGTCTAGTTAGTAGATATATTTTATTATTCTGGCTTCCTTGAAAATAATTACCTAATTTTGTTATGTGGGCTGCCCTTTTTTGCTGATTTAATCTTCTTTTGAATAGACCAAATAATATGCCAAACTGTACTGGGACTTGTTAACTACTACAAATGTTTGAAAGATAAGACTGACAGAATCAAACATTTCTTGTATCTCAGATTAATAGATTCCTTTCATGCAGATAAGGATGTGACCATTTCATTATAGTTAAGGAATTTTAGCTATTGTTTTAAAAATTGCTCTGTGGGTCTGGCTGGTATAGCTCAGTGGGTTGAACACAGGCCTACAAACCAAAGGGTCACGGGTTTGATTCCCAGTCAGGGCACATGTGTGGGTTGCAGGCCAGGTCAGGTTCCCAGTGGGGAGGCATGTGAGAGGCAACCACACATTGATGATTCTCTCCCTTTCTTTCTCCTTCCCTTCCCCTCTCTATAAATAAATGAATGAATGAATGATAGCTCTATGGGTTAAGGTAGTTTCATTGCGTTGACCATGAATCTCTTAATGTGGGTGGAGTGTGGGGTGAGAATGACCTGGATTGAATACAGTTCTGCCAGTTTTGTCTCTACAGGGGATTAGTGGTTCTGGGTGACTTACCAGACAGTGAGTCATTGGTTTGATTTGGGGGATTATGTATAGTCTGCTTCCTCAGGCCCTTCCCTTTTCCTTTTTCCTCTGACTTCTGCTGAAGAACAGTAAGCAACAAGAAAAGGGGATAATAAGAGAATGACAGCATCCTAATGATGCTAAGGTGAGGGAGATGGGACTTGAAAGACCTTGGAAGCCAGATCTTGTGTTTTAACTTTGGATTAACCAGGTAGAAAGGGAGGACATAACTATCCACCTTGATACAGGTGTTTGTTGTGGAGTAAAAAGTTTATCACTCTTGTAGGTTGAACAAATTGAAGCAGGGACACCAGGCCGACTCAGGGTGGTAGCTCAGTCCACCAACAGTGACGAAGTCATCGAAGGAGAGTACAATACGGTAAGGAAGGGACCCAGGTCTGTACGTCACTACAGAGCAAGTAGTGTGCTCACGGGACATTTTCCGGGTGCTTAAAAATGGCTGTTTGCAAGGTCATCGGTTCTGTTCCCATTCTAATTGGTGACATTGTAATTTGTTGTACAAGGATAGCTTCAGATTTCTTCACTGTGAACTTAAAATATTGTTTCTCAAATGGCTGTGAAAAAGCATCAGCATTTTTAAATCAGCTAGAATTTCTCTGTCCCGTGTTCTTCCCTTTTAATTCCCCAGCCCACCACTCTTAATATTTAAAACAGCTGAATTCATTCATATGCTGTGCTTTGTCTTTAACCTTGTGTGGATTTATTAAGGATTTGTTAACTCCTTTTTTCTTTTTTTTCTATATTAAATAGGATTGTTTTCTTTCTTTTTTTAAAAATTTTAATTGTTCAAGTACAGTTTTCTGCTCTTTACCCCCATCCCAGCCCGCCCTCCCCACCTCCCTCCTGTCTCCACCGTAGCCCAGCCCCCCCCCCCCCCCCCCCGCCCTGTTGTTATTGTCCATACGTCCTTTATACGAGTTCCTTCAAATCCCTCCCCTCTCCCTTCTGGTCACTGTCAGCCTGTTCTCAATTTCAGTGTCTCTGGTTATATTTTGCTTATTTGTTTCTTTTGTTGATTAGATTCCTATTAAAGGTGAGATCATGTGGTATTTGTCTTTCACCACCTGGCTTGAAACTCCCTTTTTCTTAATAAGAAATGGATAAGGATTTCTGCTATATCACATTTGAAGGATATTTTCTAAAGATTGTAATGGTTTAAATTCTTGCATCACTTTCTTAATGCGATATTTCTTTCCAGTTATGGATGAATCAGATTGGCTTAATAAACAGAAAAAATAATGATTAAATGACTCACATAAAGACTTTTGTTAATAGTTACTGTATATTTATTTTTCAGGTATTACTGGCAATAGGAAGAGATTCTTGCACAAGAAAAATTGGCTTGGAAGCCGTGGGGGTAAAGATAAATGAAAAGTAAGAACAAAGTCTTTCTTATATCTTACTAAATACTATTTTAGGTACTTCTAATATTGAGTAGTACTGAAGTTTTAGATTTTTTAAGTTCTTTTTATCATAGAGAATTCCCTTTTTAAGCTCAGAAAAAATCTGTTGCCATTCACAGTAATTTTTTTTTTTTGCTTTACTTTCATTTTTTTTCTTTGCAGAATCTAAATGAGCGCCGCAGTGGCTCGCTTTCTGTTTCTTTAATGTGTACAGAGAGATGCAGCCCCCGGTGAATTGTGGGCCTGCGCTTTTTTGGGCCACATTTAAAGCTACCCAGTTTTAGGACCACTAGAGTGGTCACATTTCTATTGACAGTTGCAAGTATGAAAACTTTGATTTCTTCCAGTGCTTTAAAAGTTAAAGTCCTCTGGACTGTACCCCTGCCCTGGACGACTGAGACTCTGGCATCTACTGTGGGGGCAGCACGGGGTGTTCCCCGGTATCACCTTTCTCACAGCCAGTAAAGGCACGTGGTGTGGGCGGCAAGCCCCCCCCCCCGGAGTCGTGGAGAGCCGCCAGTCCTTGCAGGGATCACTTATTCAGGAGAAGAGTGTCTAGTCTTTCCGTGAGGATTATTTTTTCTTCCTTTTCCTTCATAACCTGCTAGCCTGTTTCCAGTTGGTTCTAGGGTTTAGATTTCATACGTCAGTAGCTGACATTTATTCTGTACCTACTGTGAGTCATGGACTCTCGTGCTGAATGTTTTACAGGGATTCTCAGTCCTCACAGCCCCTTACAATAATAGGTGAGGGAATCCTTCTTCTTCTTACTGCCATTCCCGTTATCATTATTCCCATTTGTAGGTGGGGAAATTAGGCTTAGGGATGGTAAATAGCTCTCCCAAGATCACAGAGGTAATAACAAACAGACCTGATTATTACAATTTAGAATCCTTATTCTTAATCACTATGTTTCAGCTTTCCCATCCCAGTGTTTCTTAATAGTTTTCTTATTCCTTTAATTTTCAAAACAGCAGGGAGAATTATCTCTAAGCTTTCATGTCCTCTGAGTTGTTTTGTTTGGGTAATACATTAGAACGTTGCCTCAGCCAGAGTCACAGTTTGGGGCTTCTTGGGGATAAAGGGGGATTTTGTTCTGCTTAATTAATAATGGTAATTAATGATGATTTTTAACGGAATGGATTTGCAGGACTGGAAAAATACCTGTCACGGATGAAGAGCAGACCAACGTGCCTTACATTTATGCCATCGGCGACATCCTGGAGGGGAAGCCGGAGCTCACCCCAGTGGCAATCCAGGCAGGCAGGTTGCTGGCTCAGAGGCTGTATGCGGGCTCCACTGTCAAGGTGAGAGTCGTGGCTGCCACCCACTGCAACACTGTTTTCAGTGACGCTCCCAGTTCTCTGTCTGGGGACAGTTGGGAAGCTTTCCAGGCCCTGATTAATCTAGTTATTTTGATGATGGCATCCGAGATGTGCTTCCTTAGCTGAGTTCCAAATGACATAGTGTAGGACACTGTGCCTTTGTGACTTTAGTAAGAAAATTGTCACTCTCGGAATCACACTAAGAATAAAATGAGCTTGATTAAACACATTTCAGCACTGTCGTGTTTCATATACTCATAATAGTTGCATTTTCTATCAACTTTATTTTACCAAGTTAAGGAATCTTTTCGTGGCACCGGTGGAGGCTGTGCGGAAGGGCGTGGGGATCTAGGTAATAATGTCGGCGTGCGGAGCTGCTTACACCAATATTCAGGCTTCATTTCCCTGTCGTTTCTAAAAATGTGTCTTCAGCTCCTAGAATGTTGAATGTGTTATATTAATATTTTAATGTGGTTTTTAAAAGTCAGTGTAGGAAGTTGAAACTCTTAGGTATGTTTCACGAGACCAGTTATTAAATGCATGTCTGCTCATGGTGATTTCTTTGGCTTTTGTTTTCATTTTTAAAAAGTTTATTTTAACTGAGGTGTCAGGGGTGAGGGTGGAGAGTGGAGAATGACTGCTGATGGGTGTAGAGTTTCTTTTGTGGATGGTGGAATTTTCTGGATTATATTGGGATAATAGTTGCATAACTTTGTGACTATACAAAAAAACCATTGACCTGGAAACTTTGAGGAGGAGAATTTTATGGTATGTGAATCATATCTAAAATTCTAAGAAAGGAGGGAAGGAGAGGGAGGGATGAAAAGGGCGGAAGGAAACTCCAGGACTCGGAGAACACACAGGGGAGAAACAACCGTGCAGTGGGGCGTGGAGAGGGCTGCCCACGGCTGAAAAATAAGTTTATTTTTGGAAGATATTTTTAGTGAATATAAACTTCTAGATATATGGTGTCAGTTTAAATATTTTAATAATTTACCTATTGTCTTGTGGTTGCATAGATTGTGAAGAAATTGAACTTTCTATGTTTCTCTTAAGATTTTAAAATTATTTTGTAGCAATTTGATTATTGCATGCCTTGGTATGCTTTTCTTTATAATTATTCTGCTTGTGGTTTGTCCAAGACTCTTGGATTTATCTGTTTATAGTTTTCATCAAATGTGGAAAATTTTCAGTCATTCAGTTATTTTTTTCTGTCTTCCCCTTTTTTAATTTTCCCTTAGCTTCCAATTAATGAATGTTGGTTCACTCAGTACTGCCCCATGGGTCTCTGATGCTTCGCTCCTGTGTCCCCTCCCCACCCTCCACCCGGCCCCGCCCCATCTCAGTGCTCATTTTCTTAGAGAACGAACCTATTGCAGTGTCTTCAAGTTCACTGATTTTTTTCTTTCTTCTGTACTGTCTCGGGGTGTTAATCCCAGTTTGTGTAGTTGATGCTTTACATTTTTTTTTCATTTACTTAAAATAAGTTTTCCTGGTTTTTTTCTTCAGCAGGTGGTTTTCCTTTACCTTGTTGAATGAACAGAACATATTTATAATAGCTCTTTTAATGTCCTCTGCTAATTCCATCCTCTCTTTTTCAGTGTCTGTTTCTGTTAGTTGATTTTTGTTATGGCATTGGTTCGCCTGTTCCTCGCACGCTCGGGGTACTGCAGGATGGATGCAGATACTGTACATTTCACATTGTTCAGTGCTGGCTTTTGTGGAGTTGCTTTGTACAGTGTTGGACTTTGTTCTGACAGCCTTTTACGTTACCTAGGATTAGTTTTATCCCTTTGTAACTTACTTCTGAGCTTCTTTCGGGTCTGGCAGCAGCAACCTGTCATCTAGAAACAATTTAGTTTCGCTGCTAAATTGATGCCCTTTGGAGGCCTCTTACGTGACATGACGAATTCTTTCTACACTGGCCGTGGGAACAGGAAGCACTTCCAGTCCCATTAGAGCTCTGGTCGTTGGGGGCCCACTGCTCTCCAGTGGCTCTCCCCCCATCCTTGAGTACTCTCCTCTGGCACATTTGGAGAACTCAGCCCAAACCTCTGGAGGACCTCACTGCCGATCTCAAGAGTTCTCCTTATGCAGCTTCTGCCCTGTAGCTGTTGTCCAGTGTTTAAAAGGTGTTGCGGCGTCATACTTGTCCGGTTTCCTAGTTGTTTAAAGCAGGGAGGTAAATCTGGCCCCTGATACACCATTATGGCTGTAAGCGGATGTCCACCTTTACTTTTGATCAGAATTCCAAAGGTTTATGTTCTCAGAGGGAAGCGATTATATTTACTATTTCTAGAGGGAGGCACATTTAAGGATCTCACCCTACTGTTCTAGAGAGTGAGAATTCAGTTTCTCATATTTTATATGCAGAATAACCCCCCTCTATGGGCAAATGTGCCTGGGTAGGTTTTTGCCAAATAGCATTTACAGACATACTTTGCATTTACATAATAACAGTTTTCACAACTTACATCAGAATATGAAGGGCTCTGAGAAATCTGGCGGTTGAGAATCCTATTTATTTGCTTAATACAGCGTTTTACAACCTCTTGGACTTCAGCATCCCTTTGTCATCTGTGCCTGTTTACATAAAATAGGCTTTGGAAATACAATCATTAACTTTTGTGTTTTTATGGTTTTCATTTCATTTCAACAGCTGCATAATATTATCCTGCGTGTATATACTGTAGAACCACTTCCTTATTGCATTTTAAAGCTACTCCAGTATTGCTACTATCGAGGAGAACAATAGCACTGCGCAGTTAATGCGTGCCGCTCTTCTTATACATTAAGTTATTATAGATGTCTAAGAGTGAGATCAGGGGGCCAGAAGTTATAAAATATTTTTATGACTCTTAACATGTATTACCTAATGAATTTTTCAGACATCTGTTGGTTTCTGTCCCTAATAACGGGACCGGCAGCTTTGGGTACACTCGTATTACTTTCGGCTGCTTTATTAAAAGGAGAGCAAGTGCGACGCTGTAGTTAACATCACGTGAATCGTTTCTTCGTGACTTCAAACCTCTGCTGAAACTTCCTCGCGTTAGTTCACGGTTCTTGCGTAGCACATTTCCATCTGGGACTGTGACTTCCCGTACTTGGGGTGGAAATTTATTGGTCTGCTTTCCTCCCCTAATGGTGAATCCCTCCTGAGTTACAGTTTCTCTTCTCTGAACTCTTGTCTGTTTTGACACAGTGCGACTATGAGAACGTTCCCACCACTGTGTTCACTCCTTTGGAATATGGCGCTTGTGGCCTCTCTGAAGAGAAAGCTGTGGAGAAATTTGGGGAAGAAAATATAGAGGTGAGTTCTCTTTACCCTTGTGTTAAGTTACTACCACTGGCTTTTCAAAATTAAAAATCATTTCACGCGCACAGAAAAGGACAAAAATAGTACTGAGAACTTTTGTACACCCCATATCCAGCTTGATGTGTTATTAACACTTGCCCATTTGTTTTTTACACTTCATAGTCTCTCTCTGTTTCTTGGTATCTGTGTGTATTTTTTTCCTGAACCAGTTGCAAGTAAGTTGAATGCCCATTTACTCTTAAATATTTCAGTATGTATTTCCTATGAACAAGGACGTTTTCTTATAAAACCACAGGATAGTTATCATGTTTAGGAAACTTAATATATTATATTTATATAATATATTTATCTGATCTACCTTTCATTTTTCTATTTCATCAGTGGACCCAATAATACTACTTTTTAGAACCACTTTTACTGGTTTAGTTTTTTAAATGAAAATATCGTTAGAAGTAAGAAAAATAGGGGAAACTACAAAGAAAAAAATTAAAGTTAATTACATTTCTACTGTTCATTTAGGTATTTTCCCCTCTCCCATTATCATCTAATTTATATTAACTGTACCACTTACCTTTTATTATCTAATTAAGGAAAATGCACATAAAGTACGTTATTTTCATATATACAAATAATGCTACACAACATGACTGCTGCTTTTTAAATCATTTGGGGGAAAGGTTTTAGTAGAGCCCTCTGAAAGACCAGGTTTTAGGATGCGAGTTTATTTTAAATCTCTTACCAGTCTTTGTCTTTATTATATACATTGGTAGTGGCATGTAATGGCTTGGTCTGTTATTAACACATTATTCACTTTTCTTGATTCTAAAAATAATAAACCTCATTATAGGAAGTTTGAAAAATTAAGAAAATATCAAAAAGGAAATTTTAATTCATGAAGTGATAGTTGCTAATTAATATTTTGGCATATTCTTGTCTCTAAATAGTTTTGTGTATTTCTATATATTATATGATGTATAATTTTATGTAGGTGCGTATGCCTTAAATGGTTGTAAAAGTGTGATTAAGTTATGTGCAGTTTTCAGTCCTGCTGTACAGTTAATATTAGGTCATAAGCATTTCCCCCTCAATACACCATTTTTAAAATGACTTGTGTAATATCCTTTCCGGGGTGCTCTATAATAATTTGTTATACTGTTCTTTATTAGGCTGTTTACAGTTTTTCACGAGTAATAGAATGATGAGTTTCTTCATTATCCCTTATCTGTTTCTCTGATTATTTTCTGAGAATAGATTTCTATCAAGAAGTATTTAAATTGTAAGTTTCTTACTATATATTCCATGTCTTGACAGACCACCTTTGGGCTTTGTTTTATTAAAATTTGCATTTTTTATTGTAAGAGTTGAAATTTTGAAAAATGTAAGGGAAGTAAACAATTACTCATAGAGTTATATTTGTAACAATAATTGTTAGTAATTGAGTGTAATTTTTTAAATCTGTTTTTGTATAATTGTAATAACTATGATACTATCATTCAGTTTAGTAACCCATATTTTAAGAAAAGTTCATATTATTTTATACTGTAAAGAACACTTATTATAATGTCTACATAATCAGTATGTTTTTAAAAGGCAGCCAACCATATACACTATGTTTGGAATTGAGGCCAGCAGTTGGAGAAAATAAATCCCTTTAGTCCTGCAGAACTTAAGTTTGTGAGGCCTCGGGGAGGCTCTCTGTGCCCTTCCACTGGCCCGTCCTCCCCCCTCCTTCTCTGCCCCCCTTCAGTACTCTCCGTGAATGGTGCCAAAGGAGGAGATGTCTTTGGAAGTGTTAATAAGCAAGATGACTAAGCAATTGCTGTCATTGTTGCTGGTACTTTACTACTTTCCTGCCCAAAGTGGTCATTCCTCTCTGGTAACAAGATAGTGTTGGTTTTCGTAATTTCTTAATCCTTATGTTAATGCACGACAGCAAGTGATGACAGGGCTCCTTTCTCTTCCCCTGCTGCCTGTGGCTATTACTTAGGATCTCCTCTTCACAGCCCGACGTGTAGTTAAGGGATGAGCATGTAGCAACAGGGGTTTACAGTCATCTGCTTTCTGACTGGATTCCTACGTATTCCATGAATTTGACTGGTGTTTGTGTGGTGGTTTTTAAAATTTTAGTTTTCAGTTACAGTTGGCATTCATTATTGTTTTATATTAGTTTCTGGTGTACAGCATAGTGGCTAGACAATTACATAATTCACAGAATGATTCCCCCAAGTCTGATGTGCACACTGTGGACACTTCCTGTGCTGCACTTTCCACCCCCAGGACTGTTCTGTAACCACCCGTCTGTGCTCCTCAGTCCCTCCATCTTTGTCACCAGCTCCTGAATGCCTCCCTAACCATTGGTTTGTTCTCTGCATCCCTGAGTCTGTTTCTGTATGAATGTTATTGTTTAATGAAAGTCTGTGGGGCTGACTTTTCCCGCAAGTCCCCCCGACCGCCACGGATGAAAGTAAACACTACCAAGACATGATCTGCTTGGGGAGGGGAGGTGGCCGGTCCCTCAAAAGGGAAGGGCCTCGAGCCCCTTCCTCCAGGGGCTTTAATTGGGTTGTAATACACAGGAATATAGCAGGGCAAGGATTAAACAGTAGATAATATTTCAAAGAAATCTGAGGGCTTAGTCTGAGTCAGAGTCTATCAGGAAGGGAGTTTGCAGAAACTTTAAGGTTTCCTGCTCGGACCCTTAACATATGAATGAAAGCATTCATAGCAGAGCAGGTTTCACAGGTTTTTCAGGAATTCTTTGTGATGCCAGATTTTTCCCCGGGCTCCACTCTGGCAAGGCAAGGAGCTGCACCCCTCCCCATCAGGTATTCAGGCTTAAGGGGATTAGAGCCAGGAAGCACTTCTCCCAGAGGACCTGGGGACTCGGGCTATGTCACATAGCAGGGGGCACAGGTCTCTTGCACGCTCTTTGTTGCAGCCCCCCAAGTCCTTACATGATGGCCTCCCAGGTGATTGAGTTTGGCTTAGGTTGCCCCTCTCTCTCTGAGGATGCTTACCCATCATGGACTTCCAACCATGCACTTGGGGGCAGGGAGGAAAATGAGACAGCATTTGCTCCCAGAGACCAGCTTTTTCTCCTGTGGCTCGCATTCCGAAGGTCGCTCACTCATCCTTGGCCCCGGGGGTAGTTATAATTCCTGAGACCAGGCAGAGGGGTCCACAACAAAAGTCTAGTCACCAAAGAGCCTCCACTGTCTTTGTGCCACAGCCAGTGTTTGACAGATGTGCTTCTGGAGATGGTGGGTCTGACTGTGCTCTTATCTTCGTAGGTTTACCACAGTTACTTTTGGCCATTGGAATGGACGGTTCCATCAAGAGACAGCAACAAATGCTACGCAAAAATAGTCTGCAATATGAAAGACAATGTAAGTACAGTTCTCATTTAATCCTCTCAACTGACTTCATTTTGCTTTTAGTACGTGGCTCTGATTTGGTCACAGGACGCACCTTGTGTTCCTTTACCGTTTTACCCGTCAGTCTCTGGGAGCACAGGCACGCAGGGCAGGGTTCGAGGTGGCGTGCCAGGTCCCCCCTCTGCTTCACAGCACAGAGCCCCGCACGTAGTGGACAGGCGGTTAAACGTGCTGAGCGAAGGGACCGGAGGGACAGCTTGAGAACTCTGTGTGTGTATGACAGGGGACCGATGAAGTCATTGACCATCTAAAAATAACGACGAAACAAAAAAGACTGGGCACTAGACAGGCTAGCTCGGTCAGAGCTGGCTCTGAAAATCTGAACAGTGCAACGGATTTCTCTGCTCTTGGCAGAGTTTTTCCCGAGTCTGAGACTTAGAATTTATCGAAAATAATTTCTACACAGGTATTTCAGAGTTGCCAAACATTGTTCTATTGCTTTCAAAAACGTTTTCAGATGGGAAGGGGTGTAAGTTTCATCTGTCCCCAGAACCTGAGTTAAAATGACTTTTGATTTGATTGAGTGCCCTTAAATGTTTCCGCTGTCACAGACAGGGTATCTGGAAGTTTGAAACAACCAGGTAGAGGAGGTGAGGACACAGTTGCCCTTGAAAACGTTTCTCAGAACATTGTGATGCTTCTGGAGTTGCAGACAGTTTTGCTTTTAATGTTCCCTCACCATCACTCGTGGCCAGCTCTTGTCCCTTCCTTCTTGCTCCATGTGGCCCCACACTCTGTGTGGGCCTGTGTTGGAGTTCTCTTCAGCCTAAGTAGCTTTCAGCATTAAGCATTAGTACGTGTTATGTTTTTGGCCATTTCTCAATGAGGTTTTTAGAATGGACTGGGAAAATACTCTAGGCCCTTAAGGGGGGAAAAATGTCAATGTAACCGTGTTACTTGATTTTCTATCTTAGGAACGTGTTGTGGGCTTCCACGTCCTGGGTCCAAACGCTGGAGAAGTGACGCAAGGCTTTGCAGCCGCGATCAAGTGCGGCCTGACCAAACAGCAGCTGGACAGCACCATCGGGATCCACCCCGTCTGCGCGGAGGTGGGTCGCCTCCACTTGCAGGGCTCTGCGCACCGTCCCCGGGTGCGGGTGGCAGGCCTGGGGCACTGCAGCTGGTGCTCTTCCTATGCACTCTGGCTGCTCCTGTTTTTGCAGCTTGTCAGTGCGTGCGAGCCCCCAGAACAACGCCTTGTCTCTAGAACCCTGTTTTCCTCTCTCGGGCGGGGAGTACCGTCGTGCTGCTAAACGGTAAAAGCCATGAGACTGATCGATAGCGATGTGCCTTAGGTCTTTTACTCACTGTGCCTTCTGAATTATTTTCATGGCTGCTGGCTAGTAATGCCATTCACACCGAGAAAGATCTGCAGTGCTGGTTGTCTCAGGGGCACCTGGAGGCTGGACAAGACGTGTGCTTTAGGTGTCAGAGAATGAGATTGGAGGATGATGCATTTAAAAGATTAGACAAGTGACCATAGAATTGGAAATGGACCCCTCTGGGCCTCTGGGTGTCAGTGTTTCCTCATGCTTGTCAACGTCTGCTCAGGGGTTGCATGTCGTGGTGCTGTTAGCTACGGGTTGTGTCTCTGCCGGAGAACTTGGTGAAGCCTGGGAAGAGCTGTCTCATCCCGGCTTAAGTGTAGAGACGAAGGTGCAGCTGTGGTCCAGCCACCACCGCCAGTGGTCTCCATGGAGTGCCTTGTGCTTGCACACGCACACACACTCTCCTGCCAGTTTCACTCGGCAGCTGCTGTCTCGTTGGGCTCTGTCCCTGGTTGCCTTTACACAGCTGGACTCTGTGCTGAGTAGGAAAGGTCCTCTAAACTATTGTGCACCTACGGAGACGGCAGCATAAAATATTAATGCGGTCAGTGACTAGGGCATTATTCACAGGAAACCGCTGTCTTGTGAACTAAAGCTAAGCTTCAAAAAATATAACATAAAAATTGGAAAGAGCCTAGATTAATGTTCTTAAAGGATGTGCTGTGATAATATCTTTTATTCAGTGTAATCACTGAGACTGTTCTCTCTGCCTAGGGAAAGAGCCAATTAACTTCTTTTTTTTTCTGAAGACACTTTTAATGAGCTTGTTCGTTTTCTAGGGCTACTGTAAAAAAGTGCCACAAGCTGGGTGGCTTACACCAGCAGCCCCGGGGGCCAGGGGTCTGACCCGCAGGCGCGCTCCCTCCACACGCTCCAGGGGAGCGCCCTTCTTGCCCCTCGAGCCTCCCGTGGTTACCGGCGGTCTGTGGCGTTCTTCCACCCGCTGATGCATCACTCCCGATTCCGACCTCATCTTCACGTGGCCTCATCTCCCCTGTGTCTGTGTCAGTTTTCCTCTTACTAGAAAGTCATCAGTCTTTGGGTGAGAGCCCACCCTAACCCATTACAACCTCGCCTTCACCTGGTTACATCTGCAAGGACCCTATTTCCAGATCAGGTCATGCTGACAGTTTCTGGGGCTTTGGACTTGAATATGTCCTTCTGTGGGACTTAGTTCAACCCCCAACAAGAATATATTTTAAAATCTTGATGCCAGTCCAAGATACTGAAAAGCCACCACAGTCATCTCCAATGTGGATGAAAAGCTAACTTTCCAGTTTACATATGTGTGTCTGATTTCTTGGTCTGAATTCTGCTTTCGCTGGGCTGGTTAGAAAACCGCCAAGGGCTTGGCTCCTTCGCCCCCCTTGGCAGGGACCGTTGTGTTGTGATGCAGGCAGCGGTGAGCCGGCTGCATCTGCAGGGTGGCCGCCAGCCGGGCAGAGGTGCAGCGAAGAGCCAGGGCGTCTTCCGGAAGCCCTGCCTGCAGGGAGGCCAGGCAAGTGCCCGTTTCCCGTGGATGCCTGGCTCATTTGGGAGCCCCCCTTTTTTTTTAACCATTTGCTTCTGTGCATCTCCATCTGTTGATTCTCTCTTGTGACTCGGACGCTCAGAAGCTAATTTCCACTGCTTTCATAGGGCTTTCCACAATCCCCCCTTTTCCCCAAGCTGGTGGGTGATTAATGAGATAAAATGTTGGGCGCTGTCTCACTATGAACACATTTGTTGTGCAGCGATGTGCACAGCACTGCTGGGCGCTCAGGAAAGCAGCAGGGACTTGAGACACAAGTAAGAGCAGGGAGGCAGGGGATGAAGTGCCCGTCACAGTTCGGCGAATCGGGCCCTAGGACAGAGTGATAGTGTCGAGTGGTGTTTGGGGTAGCGATGTCGGGGGGGTCGTTGAGGGAGTGCCTGCGTAAGCCCGGAAGAGTGTGCCGGTGTCGGCCAGTCACAAGGAACACCAAATAAAAAGCCTGGTGGGCGCCAGCGTGGCTCGTTCAGCAGCCGAAAGTCCCTCGAGGCTACTGTAGCTTGAAAAGCTTAGAGAGAAGTTGAAAAAAAAACCACCTACCATATTTTTCAGACCATAAGACACACCTAGGTTTTAGAAGAGGAAAACAGAAATTTTTTTGAAGCAAAAAAATGTGCTAAAATATTTAATAATGTAATATTTCACCAATGTAAATGTAAACAGAACTCAACAGCAGCATTAACAACCATTATTCCTCCCAAACGGGGGAGGAGAGATGCGCCTTATAGTCCGAAAAACACAGTATGTACACACATGCACACGCACACGCAAGAAGTAAGGGGAAGGTCGTGCATGGCCTTGTGAACCAGGGTGCAGGGTATTTTGACTTCACCTTGAGGCATTGGGATTCAACTGAGAGAAGCTTAAAGTGGGGGAATAACGTGGTCAGACAGGACGTGGAGGAAAGCCACCCTTGCTCACTAAGAAATGGACTGAAGGAGGCACGTCTGGAAGCAAAAGGGGTGGCCTGGTGCCGGCCGTGGAGATGGAGACGCCCTGGTGCATTGAAACAGGAAACAGCTGATAGCACTGGCGGCTGCTGGGAAATGTGCGTGGGGAAGAGCTGAGCGATTCCTGTTTGTGGCCTGAAGCAGGGAGCAGCAGTAGCAAGAGCAGGTGGGAGGGGAAACACCGGGAGTGGTTGGCGAGGGCCACCGTGTGTGTGTGGGGCTCTGCCCCACGCATAGTCACTTGTCTGGTCCTTGGAAGATGCCCAGGAGACAGGTGGCGGTACCTCTGCCTTTCGCAGAGGGGGACGGAGGGTTTGAGGGCCTCGCCCGCGGTTACCAGCCTGGAAGTGACAACCCGGGATTTCAACCCAGCCTGTCTGGCCCCTGAGGTGCACAGTCTACAGATGATACTCCATTTCCACAGACCTTTCTACAATAGTCGACATCGAATTAAAAACTGGAAATGACTTCCGGGTGGCACCATGAGCATAAGGAGACACAGACCTGGGTTGTCATCTCACTCAGCAGCTTCTTTTCGGTGAACTTGGCCGTGGCACCCAGCTTTTCAGGAGCTTGGTTGCACATTAGATAGTAAAGCAGAGGGAAGAGCTAACTGAGAGGGCTGGTGAGCAGAGTCACTCGGGAAGTGGCGGTGTCTTGGAGAGTTCCTGGCGTGTGACACGTGTTCGGTGACTGTCTGCATCTGTTGGCTGGGTTTCCCCAGGGTATTTCACTGTGGGTGTGGCTTCACTTAGGTCATCATCACAGTATTTTTAAGGGGGCAGGGAGGGATGTGTATTTTGAAAAAGCACCTCTGGGTTTTTTTTAAGCCCCTGGTTATGAACTACTTGCTTAGAAACTAGATTTTGAAAAAACAAAGGCTCCTGACCCCTGATGATGGAAATCTTTTTAAAGCTGCTTGATCAAGGGCAAGGGAAGCTTGAAGGGTAGGGGATTTTAGGGACTCCCCTCTCTGCTAAATGCTGGTTCTGACGGGGACTTGTGCTGGACGCACCGTGGTCTCAGGTCCAGCGTGTACCGTGTGGGGCGCTGTACACGGTGCCCCCGCAGAGTGATTGCTCCTAGTCTGTGCTGAGTTAAGGGCGGAGCTGAAGAAAGATTCAGAAACGTAAAGAGTAAATTGACAGTGTCTAATCTAATAATTAAAAATTGAGTTTTAGTTTCTATGGCTTTTAAAGACTTATTTTTTCCTAATGCATTTTATTGAATTTCACAAATGTCAGCCCATGGCATGGATGAGAAAGAATAATAATTTAAAACTGGTCCCGAGCACAGCTGTGGAGTGTTCAGCACCAGCCCGGGCCCCCGGGCCTGCTGGGTGGTGGGCGGAATGAAACACCAAGTGAGCTCTTCCATCCCGTTCCGATAAGATGACTCAGGCAGCTGAGCGGCCTTTGGTTTTGAAGGGTAGTTACTTAGGAAAGTCGACAGGGTCTTCAGGTGAGACTTTGCCCTTTGAGGCAAAGTCCTTTCTGAAGGGTCTCGCTCCAAGAGGAGGGGACTGCGCTCGTTTTGACCGAAAGCCCGTTGTGTCAACACGTTGGTCTGGGAGCATCAGAGGTGCATCAGCATCACTCAGTGTGAAGGGGGTGTGGCGGTAATTTACTCTGGGCAGCTGAGCAGCAGAAATGGAATGGGAAGCCGACTGTACATCATTTGGAGTAGTAATTTCAGCTAATCAAGTTTATTTGTAGGGGAAATCTAATAGCTTAAGAGGAAAGAACATTAGAAAAGCCCCCTGTAAAATGTCTTTAAATGAACTTCCGTGCCCACCATGAAATGTTTTGGGGTTTTCTAAAGATTTTATTTATTTACTTAATTTACTTATTTATTTTTAGAAAGGGGGAGAGAAGGAGAGAGAGAGAGAGAAACGTCCATGTGTGGTTGCCTCTCGTGTGCCCCATGCTGGGGACCTGGCCCGCAACCCAGGCGTGTGACCCAACCAGGAATTGAACTGGCGACCCTTTGCTTCACAGGCCTGCTCTCAATCCACTGAGCCACACCAGCCAGGGCTAAATGTTGTGTTGTAATAGTTAGCATAATCCCAGTCTAGAGTGAGTGGGTTTTGTGAGGCCTGGAGGTGTTGGGGCCAGGTGTGAAGGTGAGGTGAAGCCTGCAGCAGCGTTTGACCCTGTTTTGTGTGTATGTGTGTGTTTGATTTTATTTATTTGTTTTTAGAGGGGGAGGGAGGGAGAAAGAGAGGGAGAGAAACATCAGTGTGTGGTGCCTCTTAAGTGCCCCTCTTCTGGGGACCTGGGTGCAACCCTTGACCCTGTGTCGATGTTCTTTGTGTTGGATAGAAAAGCATGAAGGGACAGCCTCTATTCTCATTTTGTAAAACTGTGTTCTTAGGAAAATTATAAAGCAGCTGTGTGCAAATAAAATCTTTGTAAAAATTGACCCCATTGGTTTTTTCATGTACACTGCTCAACACCGGCAATATATTGAATTATCCACCTTTTAAACATAAATCAGAATAAGAAAAAGTGATAAGAACTCTTTTTTTGTTATCTAGTTACATGTTTGGTATGTTTCAGTTTCTATCCAAACCTGCCAGGAGTTCTATTTCTAAATTAATTCCTGAGAAAAAAACTTGGGCTGGCAAATTCACATGCCTGAAATTTGTTCGGATACATCCCCTGGCTCTTTGTTTTTCTTCCCTTATAAAAATTGAGAAGAGAGCGTGTTTGGTGCTGTTCCATGATTATTTGTTTGGGTATGGATTGTTAATAGTTTCTCCCAGCTCCGTGTTTTAAACGCTTTCCAACACTGGCCGTTATTACTTGGGTCTGATTGTTGAGGTGCCGATGACGTATTGGTGTGTGAGGAAGAGGAGGAGCTTTGTCACTGGTTCAAGGCTACAGCGTTTTTCTCGGTGTTGCTCCTCCTTTGCACAACAGTATTTTCCCCTTCTGTTCAAAAGTATTTTTGCCGTGGACACCTGCTGTTTCGGTCTGTAAGTCAGAGCGTCCTTGCTTGTGTGCGTGTGCGCTCTTTTCCCTCTTCCTGATAAAAGCCAGGGAGCCAGACGTGTCTCAGGAACCAAAGGGGCAGCTAAAAATCACATCTAGGGCTCGGGGCGCCAACAAGGGCGCAGGCTCTCCCTGAGTCCACGCAGGGCGCGCCCAGTGAGCCGTGAAGCCCAGTCTCAGTGGGACACTTAATGGCCTCGGAAGGGTGGTCCGCGTAGGTAGGGTGGGGCCCATCGACGCCGCAGAATCTTACCGGTGTTGCTGCCCAGCTCACTCCATGCGACCAGAATGGTTTGGATTAAAGTTCCAGTTGTACTCAGAGACCAAATATGTTTCTAAATTTCATCTGTTGAACACAAGCCTTTTTGTGTTTCCGTGACTAGGCAGTGTAGGTGGACCATTTGGGTGGCGTTTTGGTTTTGGTTGGTTTTGCCTGTAAAAGCAGCCGTTTACTCCTTGCCAGTGCTGTCTGGTCGCCTTGAGTGAGCTGCAGCCCAGCCTCTGTGCGTCTTCACTGCAGGGCGGGCCGCGGAGCAGCCTCTCCCTGGGGCACCGCTGGGGGCGGGGTAGGGAGGGAGGCACGCTTGGCGTTAGAGGATGCGTGCCCCTTCCGCACACACGCCTTTGGCCAGAGCAACCCAGCCCCCAGGTCCGTGTCCGGACAGGGTGGGGATGTGCGGTGTGTGGTCCACAGGAAAGGTGGTCTCAGCGCAGTGAAAACACAGAAAATCCCACAGTGGCCGGTTGGAATCGTGAGGACCTGAACTGCCAGTGTAGCGCAGAGAGACATCAAATTTAACAGATAAGCGAGACATGTGACTTCACAGTTGATTACCTATCACAGTAACAAAGATGGAAAAATCAATAAATCCATCCCGGGTGTGTGGTCTGGGCACCCAAGCAGTGGTGATGCCATTCACTGAGAGGAACGGGACTTGGGGAGGGGCATTTCCCGTTTGCAGTGCCGTCCACGAAGAGGTGTTGGTTCGGTCTCACTGGTGTGTGGCCCGGGAGAGACGCGTGGCTGGGGAGACGGCAGATTCGTCTGCCTGGAAGGGAGTGTGGACCGAACGGGGCCACTGACTGGGGAGGTGTTGGGAAGGGGGAGCTGGGGCTGCAACCCTGGGCAGTGCTTTCTGCCCTCGCGGCGTCCTGCACGCGTGGACAGTGGCAGTATTTGTGCAGCACGTTTGGGTGGCCGAGGGCTACAGCCAGCCAGCCAGCCAGCCAGCCTGGGGAATCGGTGTTTCAGGGCACCCCCACGCCATGGCCGAGGACCAGTCACAAAAGGGAACAGGAAAGACCCCTGTCGGGAAACAAGAAGAGGAAGGCGTGTGAAAGGTGGGGGGGGCGGATGGCACGCGTGCTGCAGAGAGGCCGTGTGAAAGGTGGGGGGGAGGACGGCACGCGTGCTGCAGAGAGGCCGTGTGAAAGGTGGGGGGGGGGACGGCACGCGTGCTGCAGAGAGGCCGTGTGAAAGGTGGGGGGGGGGAGGCGGGCGGCACGCGTGCTGCAGAGAGGCCGTGTGAAAGTGGGGGGGGTGGACGGCACGCGTGCTGCAGAGAGGCCGTGTGGAGTGCAGGCTGCGGGGCGTCCTCCGGGGGGCCGTGAGAGTTACGGTGAACTGCGGGAGGGTGTGCCCACGGAATGGGGGGGTGGAAGCCAGATTCCAGTGCCCTGGGGAGTAAAAACAGACTGTAGATGCCAAACAGCTTGCCGTGTGGCTGAAAGAGGACGAGAGACAGTGGTGATAGAGGTGATCCTCGGTTTGAGGGAGGGTTGTGTTCCGATAAATACGGTCTGAGGAAGGCCACTGGGAACAGCACAGCTGAGGATGGAAGGGTGGGGGTGAGTGGAGTGTGAAACAAGAACGTGGGGGGCGGGGTCCAAAGCCCAGCCTGGCAGGAGGGGGGACAGTCTCGCCCTGAGTCACGAAGGAAGGAGGGGTTCATAAGAGGGGTGGGTGCTGAGCACCGGGTAGGTGACGGTGACTCTGTTCCCCTTTGGAGGGAAAGGTGTCGTCCCTTGTTACCTTTGCTTTTGGCTGGAAGAACTTTCTTGAACATTTTTTGGTAGTGTTTGCAAGTGACAAAATCACTCAACTTTTGCTTGTCTGAAAATGTGTTCGTTTTGCTGTCCTCGTGGAAGTATTTGTTGACTAAAGAGCTCTAGGTTGACAGGTTTCTTGTTCCTTTCCGCCTTTCGACTCCGCGCCAGGCACCGGGGTTTCGTCGCAGGGACCATTACTGTCCCAGTGGCTCATCTGATCCTTTGGAGGCTTGTTTCCAGCTCTGGAAGGGCAGGCTAGAGCAGCTTTACTGCAGGGCTCGTGAGGCGTAGCTCTCTGCCTAGGCCTGGCTTTCTGGAGTCTCCAGCGGTTGCCCCAGGTGCTCGGGGAGGCCTCTGGACCACGGCTCCTGAGAACTGGCTCTTCTCCCAGTCCCAGCTGGGTGCTGGTGGCTGTTCATTGTACAGCCCTGGGGCCGCGATTTCTCCCCTGGCCCTGTGAGGTCCTGCCCCCTAGACCTGCTCAGCCTGGCGTTCAGCCAGAGATGATGGGCCTCATGCAGCTTTCTGGAGCTCTTTTTCTGGGTAGCAGCTCCCTTGTCCGGGGAATTCAGCCCCCCAAATCCTGGCCACCTCAGCCTCCCCAGTGTCCACTCTTCTCTCCTTGTCACCAAGGCGTCTGTGCTCCCCTTGGGCTCCTCCCCCTGGGACTTGTGGGTGCCTCTGGGCAGGCGGCCGGGCCTGTTGAGGTCCCGCCCATTCGGTTTTCCTCTCACGGGGGTCACAGCCTCACTGCCCGTTGTTTAGTGTCTGAAATAACTATTTCATGTTTTGTCTGGTTTTGGGTTGTTTTAGTGGAGACAGTTGGTTTGGTACCAATTATTCCATTAGGCCAGGAATAAAAATCTGTTTCTAGATAGAGAAATGCTATGGGGTTTTTTTGTATGTTTCTTATTTGGTGAAACTATGAAGATAAACAGCCGATGGTCAGGGTTGCGACACTGGTGTCGCACAACAAATCCTCGTGTGGCTTGCAGACAACCTGCGTGACAACCAGTCAGTTGGGACTCTTGCTAAAAGTGAGATCCCTCAGCCCTACCCTCGGTCTGCCAAATTGGTATAATTGCCCTGTATTTTAATCAGTATGAATAGGCTTTGTTCACAAAAGTTGGAGAACCATCGTTTTATGTAAAGGCCATCTTGCGCCGTAGCAAGAAGTTAAAGCTGCCTAAACATGTTATTAGTCAAGCCCTGAACCCACAAGCACCAAATGTTTGCAAGGATGTGAGATGAGAACTTGTCGGTCACTGCAGATGGGAGCAATGGTTGGTCAGGCACCTTGGAAATGCAGTCACGTCGAAAGGGCACCTGCCCTCCAACCCAGCACTTGCACCTCTAGCTCTGGGTGCAAGGAGACTCCTAGTTGCCACAGAGCATGTTGCAAATAGCATATTGGCAGTAGCCAGACCGCCGGCCACAGGAGCCTGGATAGACAATGGTGGTACATCCACTGCTGGAATCATTTGGATGCTGCGGCACACCACATGCATGGTATACTGCAGTAACTGAAAACTCCGCAGTGAAAGGTGGGGGAATTAGAACAGGATTTCCATGGGGGTAGATTATAGAAACACAGTGTGAGCCAAGAGAACAGGTAGCAGAAGTGGACGTACACCATCTGCCTTGTTCGTGGGAAGTTTTAAAAAACCTACAAAGGAAAGCAGGAGGGACTTCGCAGGAGTCCGCACCAACTCAGGGCGGGGTGGGGAGGGAACGTGGCCAGGCAGTGGCGCCCGTGGGCCTCTGACCGCGCTCTCAGAGTTCCCTGGGCCGGCGGGCACGTGGCTGTTGGGAACAGTGCACTTCATACCTCTCTGCAGGTCCAGAACGCTTCACGGTGCACTTTTTTTAGTGAACAGACAAGCCACTTGGGTAACTTGTTTCAGTCACCCTCGTGACAAGATAGTTTGATGTTAGATATAACCTAAGTATGTTTTCTCTTTTGCTTTGGTTTTAAAATGTTTTCCACCTTTTATCTTCTGGGGAAGTTGAGGCGATCTTTGGTCATGTTAACTTCTCTGTTTCTTTCATTCCAGTAAACACCGCACTCCTTGGTTGGTATGAACGGTGCGACCTGAACTACTTACTGCCTGGTAACTCATTTACTGGCGTGTCTAAGAATCCTGTGCTTCTCCTCCCACAGGTATTCACGACTCTGTCGGTGACCAAGCGCTCTGGGGGCAGCATCCTGCAGGCTGGCTGCTGAGGTTAAGCCCCAGTGTGGATGCTGCTGCCAAGACTCCATACCACTGGTGTTTCCTTGCCCACATCCGAGATGAAGTTTTCAGGAAGGGTCTTGGGCTCTGACACCTGTGTGTCCTGTGCTCACATCACCCGAGGCCCCCTTGGATCTCCTGGGCAGGGGGTGGTGAATGGAAGGCAAGCAGCATCGCACCGGGGTCACCACGACGGACTCGAAACTGACCTTCGGCAGTGCATCGGCGAGATGCGTCCATGAAGTCACTGGCCTCAAGCCCACGCGGCGGGCAGTGATGGAACAGCTGGCGAAGCAGTTTCTGCCTGTCTCTTCCTCTGCAGGTTCTCTTACTCTCTTTGTCAGGCTTCTAACGCCAGTTATTGTTTTCTGTTTTCTCCAAGGTGTTAATGAGACTAGAGTTGAGAGGTGTTAGCACTCGAGTTGTGCCCAAAGCAGACGGGTGCTCGCTGCTTGCGAGGCATGGGTCGGCTCTCTCAGCGGCTCGTGGTAGGCTCGTCCCGTGAGGGCAGACATTCTGTTCTACTCGACTGGCCTGTCTGGCATCGTCTCCCCTAATGAGTTCCATGTTCAAGCAAGTCATGTATGATCGACGGGCCCGATTTGCCCCAAGTGCTGCGTCACTAGTTGTTACCAGTGTCCGTTCTGTTTAGGGAAGGAAGAGGCCTGTTGGAGGCAGTAGTCCGCTGCATGAACTCCGCAGTCGGGTATGATTTCCATCATTATTCATCGCGGAGGCAGACATGCACCTTCAGTGTGAAAACCAGTAAATGTCTTCAGTTTGTTGCATGCTGGTCTGCGTGAGCTGAAACACTTAACACCTGCTTAAAACCTTGTTTTGGTAACTTTAGCTTTAAGCTAAAAACAGAGAATATCACCACTTTATTTTTCATGTGTATTATGTATCTCTCTCCCTAAGAACTACATTTATAGGGAAACCGTTCTTTCTACACTTGCGATTTAACTCTTTTCTGCTAATTACTCTTTTGAGGAACTTGTTAATATCGTAAGTTATTATTTTTGAACACAGGTGGATGTGAAGGATTTTTGTTTAAAAACCAAATGGTTTTGCTATCTCCTGTTGAATGAATGACTGTACCTGGTGGGATTTTGGCAGAAGTGTTTAGGCTTCATTTCCATCCCAACTTGTGTCCTTGCGGAGAGGCATTGCCTCCGCAGTCGGAGGCTCCTGTGTGAGTGCAGGAAGGGCTGCGTTCAGGCCGTCTTCTCACTGCATGCGTTGGATTGTCCACACATGCCGGGGACACCAGGCCTCCCACCAGCGGTTCTCGTGGCTCCTTTTTCGTTCCCTCCCCTCTCGTGTCCCCTGGCTACAACACCGAGTAGTAGATTCAAAGTACATTTCTCGGTCACCTCAGGGAACCCAGGCTTCCTCCTGGCACTCCGTCAGCAGAGCCCGCCCGTCCCACGGGGCTCTGCCGCACACCCCATCCCACCTGCGTGTAGGACAGAGACTCGAGAAGGAGCAGTGGTGAGGGGAGCGAGGCAGTTGACCGTGTTGTTTTATTTATTTTTTTAAATTTGTTTTGCCGCCAAGTCTGTCGATCTCTGGAAGGAGAACAGCAGGCAGTGTGAGACGATGGTGCGAATCATGTGCTTCTCTCTGCTTCATGGGGTGGAAGGCCCTGCCTCCACGGGAAGGATCACACTTCATGGCCTCGCCTGGTTTCGATTCTGTAATTGCCCCATGTATCAAAACATATTAAGTTCCATGTTTTTTTGTTATAATTCTTCTTTTAAAAAAAAACACTGTGAACCATTAAAAGTTATTGACATTCATCTTGTGTGCCTTCTTGCTGAATGGTGGTCTTGGGGGCCCTAGCTCGAGCTTTCGTATGGACGGTCACGAAAACCGGCTGCCGAGTAAGCGGCAGTGACGCCGGGCTCTGGGGCCCGGCCGGCAAGCTGCCCTTCCCGGTCCAGTGGTGGCTTTTCCCGTCCAGTTTTCAGCTCGTCCTCTTTGACCCGTGAGTCCTGGTCTCTACGGGTGCAGACCCGCCTCACCCCCTCCCAGTCCCTCTGGGCCCCAGCACCTTGCATGTCCGTGGCTGCCCATCTCTTTTACCGAGTGAAGAGACAGGAAAGAAGTGATGGAATGCTTGCGTCCAAGGCACAGTGGGTTCAAAATGAATAATAAACACCGGTGGTTAATTTATGTGTCACCTTAACTAGGTGGGGGATGCCCGGATACTAGGTAAACACGACTTCCGGCTTGTCTGTGGATGTTCCTGAATAAAACGCACACTGGAGTCGGCGAGATCTCCGGGGTGGCTTCCCCCGCCCAGCGTGGGTCGGCCTCATCCGCCATCACTGAGGCAGAAAGAGGCGACTGCCCCGCCCCGGGGAGGGAAGGGGGTGTCTTGGGGCGAGGCGGCAGCAGCAGATGTGATGGATAAGCCCTGGTCTGACATACAGGGACGGAGGAACCGGTACCACTTAGCACTAGATTGGATGTGGGGTGGGAGAGAGCGGCCGCAACCTTTAGGGCTTCGGTGGCAGGAAGGGTTAAGGCAGAGGTGTCATTTCACAGAGGCGGGAAGCTGGGAGGAGGAGCAGGTTTGAGTCCCGCCTTTGAGACAGCCGGAAGACATCAGAGCAGAGATGGTGGGTAGGAGGTGGACACAGTGGGATTGCAGAAGTTTAGGATGGAGAGTTAAATGTCAGGCCAGCCCAGCGGGGGTCTTTCAAGTCCTCAGAGTGCTGAGGCCCCCGGGGCATGAGTGCAGGTAGCGACGAGCTCTTCCGGAAGCCAGCAGCTGCCCCACAGAAGGCCAGAGCAGCTCGCAGGTCTCTCAGTCTTTTTTTTTAAAAGAATGGCAGGCTTTACACCCATAAAGGTGGCAGGGAAAGGACATTCCAGACAGACAACCAGACCAGACACGGAAACAAGGTAAAGGTGGAGCGGTGAGTTGTAAGCAGCCCGCGGAAGGCCCCCAAACAGCAGGCCAGTGCTCTCCGATGTCATCCTGGGGCTGTGGGAGCCGGGAAGGTGCAGGCCCGGACGGGGGAGGAGAGAGGCGTGCACACAGGACCAGCCTCACACACCTCGGAGTGAAACTCTGCACCCTGCACGCCCCGCCTCTCCCGGTTCCCAGCCCTGCGTGCCTGACGGACAGCTGGGTGGGGGAGTGGCTTAGTGTCTTACCCTATTCCAGACTGAGCCAATACAGGTTTGAATCACAGCTTTGCCACATCTTGGCCAGCTTATCTGTGCCTGACCTCACTCTGCCTCAGTTTCCTCATCTGTAAAATGGGAATATTCATTGTACCTTCCTGGGGTTACCATGAGTTGAAACACATGAAGCACTTTGAGCATGACTTTGCTATGCAGACAGTAAGCATATGGTAAAATTTGACTTATTACACAGTTTGCTCAGAGTAGAGTGGGAAGGAGACAAATTCAAAGGCAATTGCATGTCAGAGCAAGAAGGAAAGGAGGCCTGAAAAGGGGCAGCTGTCGTGGAGACATGAGGTGACGAATATTACCAAGAGGAGTAAGACCGGCGGGGCTTGACGGTGCTCACTCGTTCCACACTTACGTGTAAAATCTCTGTGATGTACTTGGACTTGTTCTGAGAGCTCCGTTGAGTGGCAAGCAAGGGAAAGTCGTCTTCAAAAAAGACTCAAAGGGGCAAGAGGGGAAAATGCAATAATAACGTAAATCATTGCTCACCTTGCAGAGTTGCTGTGAGGGCCATATTAGTCGGTACCCAGGTAAAATTACTCAGAATCGTCACTGGCACCAAGACGGTGCCTGGCGAGTGGGCACCGCGATTAGTAGGAGGACAAGAAGGAGTAAGTCAGCTCTCAGTGCAGGAGGCCGGGTGGTGCTGGGGTGCAAGCCCAGGATGCTGGTCGTGGTCTCTTTCCACTGCAGCCTCACTCCCTCCCATCCAGCCAGCAGCCTGGGAAGGACCAAGTGACGACTGACTTAGAATGTGGCTTTGAGCACCATTTGATGCTCAAGGATGTGAAGAGGACCTCTGGGGTCAGCAGAAGGGAGACCCAGAAGGAAAGGCTTATCTCTACCAAGGGGCAAGTACAGAGGCCAGGGAACAAAACCTCCCCAAAGCTCTGGCCCCCATCGGCACCCCTGGAGCCCCACGTAGGCCTCCTCTAAGAGAGGACAAAATTAAAAAATGGCCCTGTGAAGTGTCTTCCCGTTTAGGAACCCCATGAGGTCACATCGTGGTAGGTGTCATCAGGAGCTACTTACCTTCCTCCCCTGCGACCCAGCCCCAGTGCGGGAACAACCATGGGACAGGGATTCTGCGGGGTGAGTTTTCCTTCCAGGAAGTGGGTGGTGACTGGCTCCATCAGAGGCACCTCCCCTCCCTGGCCTCCATCCTACTGTAGTGAATTTGAGCCCAACGGTGAAATGAGTTTCTTGTGAAATGAGACAGGAAAATGATTAGGAATGCAGTTGCCTTGCCTCCTGTGTGGCTCACACAACTTAAAGACTATCTCGTTATAAATTCCTTTTTATGCTTCTTGGGGCATTCTGCCGAGGTCCACATCCAGGACCATTAAGCAAAGGAAGAAGATCAGCAGCTGATCGGGGCTGGGCTCATCCCTGGGGGGTGTGGTGTCAAGCAGCTCTCGGAGACGGGTGGGGGCTCCCCGGCGCCAGGAGCAGAATTGCAAGAGCTGTGCTTTCTAAGGGCTCAGCTTGTCGTCACCATGACAAATTCCGCTCTGTCCTGACTTCCGAAATAAGGATGCTCTAATGAAGCACCCACTCTGCCGCCCACCCTCCAGGGCTCCTCCGTGCACGATCTCATTCAGCTCCCAGATGGACCAGAGAGCTGGGCATATTGCCTTGTTTTCTTTCTTTATTCTTCTCTCCCTCTTTTTTAATTTTTTAAAATTGATTTGAGAGAGAGAGAGAAACATCGATTTGTTGTTCCACTTATTTATGCATTCACTGGTTGCTTCTTATATGTGCCCTGACCGGGGGTGGGACCTGCAACCTTGGTGTATCAGGACAGCGCTCTAACCAACTGAGCTACCCACCCAGGGCTAACCCCCAGTTTTCCAGAAAACCTCCAGCTGGTGACTCACACACAGATTGTGGACAATCTGGTGTCTTCAGCAAGTCAAGCCTAAAGGGGGAACGACAAGGTGGAAGGAACCAGGGCCCCTGGACGAGCAGCCCTGGGCGCCTGCCCACCCCCATCTGCCCCGTGAGAGAGCGAGCTCTGTGTGTCTTCTCCCACCCACTCGCCAAATGGGCAGCACTTGGGGGGCTTTGACCTGGCAGTCTTGCCTGTCCTCCAACTGAAACATTTAAATCCTTCCGCCCAGAATATTTAACGATATGAGAAAAAGCTGATAGTTTGCATTTCAATGAAGCCAGTATATGAAAAGGAGATTTTTAGGGCAACGACTCTGTGTGATACTATAATGATGGATGCGGGGCACTAACGTTTGTCCAGACCCATAAAGTGTACAGCGGCAGAGTGAGCCCATTGCACACTCCGCACCGAGGGTGGTCGGGACACGTCACTGTGGCCTCACGGGTTTCACAGACGTGCCGCTCTGGTGGGGGGTGTTGGTAAGGGGTAGGCCGTGTGTGTGTCTGGGGTGGGGGTTGCCTTGTGATTAATATTGCTGTGGACCTAACTCTGCTGTTAGAAGTAGCCTATTTTTTAAAAAACCTGGCTTTATAGACAAACACCGCCTGTGGGAAACCCATTTGTGTGGCCTCGGTCTCTCACAAGTAGCTCAGCGGCCCACGTTTACTTGATGTAGCACCTGGACCTTGGAGTTTTTGTGAATCATTCCCTATGTTGGATGCTCCGGTAGGTTCCCCAAGGCTCACCTGGGTTCTGAGGATCCCTCCCACCAATGAATGCGCAAGAATTTAGTCACAGGACCATCAAGTCTGTGAGTGTTGTGGGTCATCAGAGAATGTGACAGCTGCAGGCATTTCCCAGCATGTTTTCATTTGAGCCTTTGGAAAGCGATCTTAGAATGGTTCTGTGCGGTACCATCCACACATGTTCCAGCTCTTTGACTCCAACGCAGCTGCTGCAGCTATGAGAATGGCACAGCTCTGAGCTGGGAGGGCCGGTGTTGAGGGTCTGCGTGTACCTTCGGAGATGTGGGGGTTTAGTTATGGACAGTGGCAGTGCAAGGCTCTCTCCACTTCGTTCATTACACTCATGAGGTGGTGTGTCTGAGCAGAACGAGAACATTAATTGTATTTATAATGAAATTCACTAGTGCATAAATAAGATCCATTAATATTTTATTCATAACTGCGAAGTGCTGGTAGACAAACCAGAGCTGTGCTGGGCACGAGTGCGAGTCACGGCTCCATTTCTGCAGCTTCCCTGCTCCTTCACTTGGACGCACCAGAGGCCCGCACGCAGTCACATGGGCACGTGTGAGCACACTGGTGCCCAGGATCCTCATGTGGCAGGAAAGAGAACAGTGTCCGGTGACAAGTTCTTTCTGGAAGCAAATACATGCCAGGCATGATCTAACAGAACCTCCATTATGTGGATGCAACAATAGAAACAGTCCCCCAAAGCTTCCGACATTCTGCGGGACTCGGGGCGCAGGTCCAGCCTACAGATTCCCTCGATGGCTCGGAGCCTTCCTGGTGAGGCTGTCCTGTCTTCCCAGGGGGAGAGGGGTTCTGTGGACCTGAGGCCGGAATCTCAACAGAGCACCTTCCAGCCTCCCCTTGTTGGAGGAGGGCGGAGGAGGGAAGACTGTTCCTGCAGAGAGCAAAACTGGGAGCAGAGCCCCTCGGCTGCCCCGGCTCTCCCCGC